GGCTTTAATTACTTCACCAGCTAACTATATAAGCAGAGATGTCTGAAGATTATACGACCTCACCGATCACTCTTTGGCAGGGCTTCTGGTGTGAACATTCGTAATCGAATCCGTATATTACGAAGTACCGGCCGTATCTGCTCGACTGTGGCGTGGGTGGTGGACTTTCCGGTGCGAAGCCTCGCTGACCCAGGAATATATCTAATACGCGGTTACAGACGTCAATAAGGCTCTCGCGTGTATGTACTAGTTTCTGTGCAACCTTGGCTCACGATCCTTACGTTATTACGTTTCGCACCATTAAGGCTTGCTTACTCTGAATCCACCATAATACCTTGTGTAGAGCCTGTTATAAAAATACATCAGGTGCATATATGTAGTGCCTAAATTCTAATGAAACCTCGTGCACATAATTCCAAAGCCCTATTAATTTCGGATCGCATTGTCGCGTTCATGAGTGAAGTAGTTACTTGTACCTACATAGGTCCAAAATAGCCCATATTGCCAAGACAATTCGCTCTTCACCGGCGTCAGACCCAGGGCGCGGGAGCTGTTGATCATGAGCCACAATTCTGGAATCCTTTGGAGAGTTAGTAAATTTTGGATGGAATGAGCTGTCAGTCATACATACGTAGCGGTGGGTTGTTGGGTTTGAGAATAGATCAACACCTGCCTACATAGAGTAAAGTTGGTTCACAACAGGTGCCTACATTTTTACTAGTCGGTATAGTTTTCCACAACGGATCTTAGATATAGATCATCATGATCGGTTTAAGGGATCCTCAAGGCTGTGAACCTATCAGGGCCAACAAATCCCAACCAGGAACTGGTACCCGTGCATAGACGCTACCCGTATGGTCCAAGGCTTTTGGCGACTTGATACTCTACCTAATTCAAAACCTGGATGCTAAAATCAAGACTCAAAACTGCACCTTGAGGTTTTCCGCATCAGTCTACCCTACCCAATAATAATCCAATCGTTCCAGTATCATTCGTCCAGCGCAGACTAGGCATAATTTTGATACCCCTCAAGTTTGTCTCTCAGTACCGGATCTCCCTGATCTCAACTACCGCCCTAGCCCGGGGTCACTCTTTTGGCCCGCGCGCTCGACTGCTTTGCTCTTTGCTTTTCCAGAACCCTTCCTCAGCCTTCCAGAACGAAGCATCATTGGCCTACTCCGTTCTATTTCCACTCTAGCCTATCCAAATAGCTCTCCCACACACGTGTCTCATAATTAAGGGTACCATATGTTAGGGTTAGGGTTCGCTAGGGTTAGGTGTTTTGTCCGTTTTCGGTGTCATGACCTCCTGAAGACGCAAACTCCTAACTTCACCGAAAGGCCTGAAGTGAGCTAGGTGGTGTAGAATACCTTGGCACACACTATATGAGACCCGAAAGTGTGGTTAGCTACGGAGGGAGCTCCGTTGCATTGCATTAGTGCGTCGACAGGGGTTATGTGCTTAGTTGAACCTTTGTAGTTCGTGGGAAGTTGCGAGGTGGAGAACTTTGAAGATGAAGAGGATGGCAGAAGGTACGAACGAGGAATGGGGGGAAGGCGAGAAAGGTTAGGAGTAAAGAAGGAAACCTCGAAAGAAGGAAGAGAGTTAGAGTGAGGTCAGAGGAGGCAGTGTGTGATGTAAGGTGAAGGGGAGTAAGGTTTGCATGCCAAGAGTTAGTTGAGTTTTGACAATGGAATGCGGTTTTCAAGGCAGCAGAACTGATCACGCACTCATGCCTTTCTTCCAAGATCAACTTGTGTTCCCAGGAATGAGACGAAAAACAAAGGCACCTAACTACTCAACCTCCACCGTATATTGCGCCTCCACATATGAAACTGAACGTTTTTCTCTCTCGATGGAAGCAGTAAACAAGCAGCCCAACTGAGAAGCCATATACACGTGCACTGAGAATTTCCAGATTCTGGCATGAAGCCAATTGCCACGTTTCCGAAAAAGCAGAGGCGAATTGCGGCCTCATCTCCATCTCCGTGTATCGCTCAACGCCCCGCAATCCGCTCTTTTTTCTTTTTCTTCCCTTTTCCGCAATTCGCAATTCGCAATTTCCACGATGGGTGTTTTCTTGCCATTTCCTTCCTTTCCTTCCTCTGGAGGCTTGCAGTGCAGTCGGAGTCGCATCCGAAGAGCGGGTGCAGGTTCCATACGATATCTGTGAATACCTAGTACTCAGATGATTAGAATCATGCCTCCTCACTCATGTTTCCCGAGCGTTGCCGTGGACGGAGTACACGCCTGGTATGGAATGATCAACATTGATGCAGAGCTAAAGTGGGGAAGATGAGGAGAAGAGGAGGAGAAGAGGAGGAGGAGAAGAGGGGGGTAATGCAGGTGTGAGAGATCGGGTTATGGGCTTCGGTAATCTAGGTACAGAAAATACGCGAGCCCGTCATTGTCGAGCGAGGGAGTGTGGGTGGGTGGTTGGGTAGTTATCATATTTGAGGGAAAAAATCTCGGAACCTGTACCGAACTTGTGGTTTATAAGAACACCGCCACGATTTGTGATTGTAAGGTATCAATCACATCGTGGGTTGCGGTCACGGAAATTTGATCATTACCTCTTTGCTTACCTACCCACCTGCCTGCCTGTCTAAGCCCTCTACCCCACGGGAGAGCGTATACCTATGGGATTGGATTGCGGAATGAAACAAAACGAGCTCTCGTTTGTGTCATGGGACTTTGTTCCAAGAAGGCGTTTTGTTTGAGGTGAGTATGAGCCTTATGATACTCTTTTCCTTTTTGAACATCCTATCTACCTACCGGAAGAAATCCAAAAACTTGCTATAGAGAATACAGTAGGTATCACAGATAGGGCTAGCAATTGATGAGATTCCATTTCCGGATAATTGTATGTACGAGTCTACCTTATGTCAGAGGCTTGAGACCTCGGGCCTGGTAACGGTTACGTAGACACTGAATCAAAATCAGTAAATATCGGAAATGACCAAGAGACGCAGGAATAGGAGTATTTCCTCATGATAAGTCTTAAACATAGTATTCAGCTTGAGAACTCCACACATACTCGAACAATATTATTATATAATTATGCCCTAACTCTATGTCGAGTAAACATAATCGGCGGCGGCGGTCAACTAGTGTTTCTAAGTATAGGGTAATGTAGAGTAGTGCCTAGAGCCTGCTCTACATTTTCTGCCTGTATGCAGAGTATATTCGAGACGTGCCCTGCAATTGGATACCAGATGCCTGTGCTCACGTTTACACTTGCTGGTTGTCCCCACCCCAAACCACCATCGTGGCCACAAACATGGCCACTCTACGCGACAACCGAGGGGAACACAGGGAAGAGACGGAGAAGGAAGGGAGAATGGATGAAGTGGAGTGAGGGAGTTGAGAGAGAAGGCCGGCGCGCAGCACAGCCCTGTAGCGAACGAATATCGAGCGAGACGAGATGAGGCAGGCCAGGGAGGGGGAGGAATCTTACAGAGAGCTACATGTAATTGTTACATGTAGTTGGTGAGGTAGGCGTCCACCGACTCCTACGTATTGATGGATGAGGATGTACGACCATATGGAGAGGTGGTAAAAACGTGGGCAAACATCATATGCACAACACAAAAAAGCCAAAATCGTGAGAAGCGAAGCCACAATGCTAAATAGATGGCGAGGCCTCATCGTCGACCTTGAAATCTCCCTCTCTCTTTCCTGCTACTCAATCGCCCTTGGGCTTACCCCCCACCATCTCCTGACATCTCCTTACTACTTGACCTCTACTTTTGTAGACTTTCCTTCTCTCGTCTCCTTTAGTACCCCCTCTCTCTATCTCCCCCACCCTCATCCCCGCACGCCCGCTCTCTCTCATCACATCACTTCACTTCGGGCTTCTCTGTGTTGTTCAACCGCTTACTTGACAACGATATGGTTGTGATGCCCATGTTGTGCTGACCTGGCAAGCGCCGAGTGCACCTAACAAGACGAGATTCGAGCGCCCACCTCCATACATACCTAACACTCGCCTTGTCTCGCCTCTCTCATTAGTTAAACGTCACCTTAAAAAGTTGTTCCTGGCTTCGTCTGATTTCTCCCCCCACACACCCCCTCCAAGATCCCTATTCTGCTTTTGATCAACTTCCTACTTCACCCACCCCATGAACTGCGCCTAAAATAAAGCACTCCCAATAAATCTTCAATTTCAAAGTAGACAGGCAGCTGTTAGATGAGACTTGTCCGCGAAGATCCCATTCCATCTTTGACCTAGTCTAGTATCCCCGGGAGTATCTATCACTTTACTACGTATATATCATTCGTTTATTACATTTCATCCCTCTTACATCCACCTACCTACATACTCACATACATAACTCACAACCTTCTTCTCCTTCACCTGCGTGTGTGGTAGATCCTGGCGGAAGTTGGTCGTTTCTCTTTTCAAACCCCCCTCCTCTCTCCACCCTCCCCCACACCCACTCACTCGCTCATCCACCTGGGCTGCACGTCTCTCGCCACTTGCTAGCGGCAACTACCATGAGCTTGACCTACCACCGCACCACAATTACTGATACTACCGCCTATTCCGCGTCCCCCTCCGCTGTTTCAGGAATCGATCGTTTCTGCTGCTGCTCTCTTTGGTGTTGATCTGGTACATACTACTACTGCAGGGAAATAACAAAAAGGTCTCAGGGAACTTCTACAGGAAAAAAGAGAAAGGGAATCGAAAGTCGACGGGAAGTTTTTGAGGGACAAAGGGTATAAAGAGCAAGCAAAAAAAAGAGTGACGCATAGTTGAATAAGGGAGTTTCGAAGATCGAAAGAAGAAGGGAAAGAAAGGAAAGGATCAGCTTGAAAAGGAAGGGAGGGAGGAAAGGGAAAGGGTTATTATTGGGAAAATAAAGTCCCAGGGAAGGAGATAAAACTTGGCCCGGGTTCTTTCTTCGTACACGATATCGCCAAATAATTTGTACCCCCCTTCGGAGAAGGGCACTCACAACCCGAAAAAAAGGGAAGGAGATATTCTCCAACCTACATTGATGAAGAGGGAGCGTCGGACGCTGTCAGTGCCTTCAATACACTACCAGGACGAAGTTGGTAGCAGCGGTGTCATTATGGACTCTGGAGGGTTTCTGGGAACAGGAGCCGGAGGTGGTGGAAGAGGAGGTGGAGCAGGTGGAGGAGCAGGTGGTGTTGGAAATGGTGGAGGTAACGGGAGCGCGGGGTGGCCTCCGCAACAGCAGCAGCAGCAGCAACATCAATTACCATCATCCAATTCTTTGTCTTTAGGGCAGCCGCATCAGACGTTCAATCGGTCTCGTTCCGCCTCCACATCATCGTTATCAACACCAACGGGCGCAACCCCGTCTTCAACGAGTGGCACCGCTAAAAAGAAGGTTGTCACTGCTTGCCAGAGATGCCGGACCAGGAAGATCCGCTGCGACGGAGTACTTCCGTCCTGCAAAAGCTGCGTTAAGGCTGGTGTTGATTGCATTGAGGTCGACCGATCTGGTGATAACAACGTACCAAGGAGGTAAGAAATTATGCACTAAATTATCCTCAGTCCCCTGACTGAGATACTGTGGCGAGCTTTTGACTGACTTCAATGCTGTACTCTTTTCATCTCGTGCTTGCTAGTCATGTCCTCGAATTGGAAAATAGGATCAAATGGTTAGAAGAGCTTTTACGCACCAATTGCCCCGATGTGGATCTTTCTGTTGGGCCACCGGCGGAGCTTAGGTCTCGTCCGGCACCTCCAGCAATTCGGATTGTTACTACTGGGCCTGATATGCACCCTCCACCATCGTCGATAAGCTCGACTTCGTCTCCAGCGTTTGCTCACTCCCCCGCCTCGACTTGTCCTACCCCAGCGTCCTTTGAGTTTTCGCCCTCAGGCATGTCACCGGGCTACCTGGCTGCATACAGTCCATACACCTTCTCCGACTGCCCATCTCCGGCCCCAAGCCCAGCCCCCTCGAGCCCACTACTGCCAAGTCCTATGTTGCTACCGCAACAGGATACGACCGCTCAGGATGTTGCTCTTATATCACTATCAGCTATCGAGGAACCTAAATACATTGGCCCATCATCCGGAATTTCATTCACTCGCCTCGTATTTCGCGAAGCACAGGATGACCTCCGCCTCACTGAGTTTGATACAGGCAACAGAGATATAAAACCCAATTTTGCGGCTTCTGGAAGGCGCTGGCCAGGAACTAATGCAGAGCCAATACCTCTCCCTAGTTTGGACGAATGTGGGACCTTATCAGGTAACTACTTCGACACTGTCGCCCTACAATACCCATTCCTATATCGTCCACACTTCGAGTCTTGTCTCGAAGCCGTACATCAGGCAGCGAACAATGCGCCTTATCAGCTTCCACAAGGCTACACTCTTGCTGTCGCACGGTTTCATGTTTTTCTTGTGCTTTCCATTGGTGCAAATATTCTTTCAAATCGTACCGGCCACCCTATGGATTCCGAACGATATTTTGCTAGTGCTATGCAGTGTATCGATGACATCACTCTCACAGGAAGTGTCCAGGCAACACAAAGTGCGTTGCTGTTGGCAATGAGATCTTTCCACACTAGTTCTGGCGGGCTTAACCTCTGGTACTTGAACGCGATCATCATGGCAACTTGTGTCGACCTAGGATTGCAAAGAAAGATATTTTTGTTTCAAGAACATGCTGCGATAAAACGTCGGGTATTCTGGTGCGCTTATACACTCGACCGTAATCTTGGCATTTCTCTTGGCAGACCATTCTCGTTGAGGGACGAAGCGTTTGATGTGGACTTTCCACGTGAAAATGACAGCGACGAGGATTTACATTATCCTTCTTCATTATCGATTGGTTCAAGTATTCCCGCAGGCGCAGGGACTCCTCACTCTTCATTTTTGGGATCGATTTATCTATTCCGGATGACTAGAATACTGAGCAGCATTAAATCTACATTATATCGAATAACTCCACCTTCAATGGGGAAATGGCCCGCCGATACACAAGATTGGCAGAATAATATTCACCGCCAACTTATGGACCTTCGTGACCAAGCACGACTTGGGTTAGGAGCATCTCGAAGAGGATCAGGAAGTAGCGGGAACCACCTTGGAAGTGGCCAAATGGTAGATCTCAAGTTTCACGAAGCCATTCAATTGCTTTTCAGGCCGTCACCCGCATTTCCGCTCCCTTCCGTATCAGCTCTTCAACATTGTTTTACCGCAGCCGTAGAGACCGTTCGAATATACCACAAGCTTAAGATCTATGGAGGGCTGCAGTATACCTGGTTAACGGCGCACTCAATCTTTCTCAGTGGATTCACAATGTTGAAAGTGTACAGTCAGTGCAGGGAGGTTCAGGCGCAGACAGCACACGAAACTCTATCTGAAGATATTAGGCATTGCTCTATGCTGCTCGACAGCTTGGCTTCCTCGTGGCCTATAGCACAGAGGTCGAAGGCAAAGTTTGACGCACTTGCTCAGACTACGTTATTACAAGCGTCGGCATCCTCATCTCGGATGCTATCGCCGCATGATGGCACTCGTCGTACTTCGTCGTCATCATCTCATGGACGGATGTTCCCAGAGTTCTCAGGTCACACGCTAGAGGTTCCAGGAATGTCACATCACCCAACCCCTCACCCGAGTCCACACCCAAGCCCACACCCGAGCCCACACCCAAGTCCACAACCTCAAATGAGTAATGCAGCGGGTAGTTGGTTTCCCAGTGAGCCTACTAGTAGCGGTGGGGGGGCTGCGCCCATGGATACGAACTGGATGGAAACCCTCAATTGGCCGACTGAGCCCCTGATCTCCAGCGGTACAGGGTTTGAGGGACTGGATCCAAACGACGAGAGCCTAGGACTGCTAAGTGCATTCTTACATGTTCCAGCCCCCGGTGTCACAAACGGCGGAGATACCTCCATGTGGGGTATGGAACAAGAGCACGAGACGAGGCTGTAACAAAATTCGTTTTCCTTGGGAGTACTTCAGGTTTATTGGTTTTTGCTTCTTCTGTTTGGCTACTTCCCCGATTTACTGAAGGCTATGGCATATCCTAAGGCAGTAAAACAATGGGGTAAGGCTGTCCTATTAGACTGGGGGGCGTACGATTAGGGTTTATTTCTATCGTCATTTTTTATTACTGTCTGTTGTTTTATTGTGTTTCACTATAGGAAGGTCTTTGCGCGGTCGTACATGGAACTAAGATTAGTTATGGGGGCTGTGGTCAGCGCTTGTGTTTTGATAGCGGTACTTTTTGTGGGGATTTCATTTGGCATATTTTTCATTTTTAAGGTTCCAGAAGCAGCATCGTCTTTGGTGCGTTTGGTGTTTTTTCTTTCTTCTTTCATTTTTTCCTCCTCCCAGGCCATTGTATTTTCTTTCTTATTTCAGCTAGCTAAAATGTTTTTTTTTCTCCGTTTTTTTCCTTTTGGTTTTTGTACTGGGTTTGATCGCTTGAAATACCTATGTTCATTATTTGTGTATGTATGTATCCTGAGATTGACATTTTTGACGTCGGGTTTAAGACATTTAGCACATATATATGGATAGGTAGTGCATATCGCCGAAGGATAGTACGTACCTACATAGTACACGCAGCAGGTAGAACTCACTCATTATCATTGGGCTCCAATACTTCTAGAATATGATATGTAGATATCGATCGATGCAATGATTGGAGCGGTTATGCAACTAAAGTAACTATGTACTTTCACCTCTGGAAACGTATCTTGGAGCATGCGCACTGTTAGATGCACAGATATCAAGGCAGAAAATTGACTCTACAAGGCTTCTTCGAGTCAATATTGCCCGCTCCCCCTGATGCTTTGGCCACCGAATTCCAAGGTGACTTCTAGATGGCTTTCGCCACATCCATACGTTGCGTCGTTGTAGTAGTACCAAGACCCAAGCAACGAAAATCATTGACGCCCCTCGTATATAACGCCACACCTGCAATGCACAGCCTCAATCAACCTCGGCCCCACCCCCCCCGGACCCCGACCGCACATGTAGAGAAATATTGCCAAGCCTGAAACGTCCAGACACGCCTGAACCTCAGAGCCTGAAGAAACAATACCCAGAGCAGTAGAAGACACAAAGCGGTTGACGCTGAACAACGGGCCATATTTGTACCGGGAGAGTACATACATACGCACGCCTGACCAGCTTGCTGCTTACTAACCACACGGACGTGACTCCGTCCTGCGCACGCGTATCAGGGCCAAACCAGGTAAAGTACCTCACAGAGGTGAACTATGGCATTATGCTCCATTAGTAAGGATTGGGCATTCCGATCGCAGCGGGTACTCCACGGGAAGGGGGTACGTTGTGTTAAAACCACGGTTATTTTATATAATGGAGGCGAGATGATCACATGTTAATCGTTGTCGTTTGTGGGTTTGGTTTTGCATAGCCCCGTTATTTGGCATGGGCGCAGCGCGGTATGTAGCCTTACTGATGTTAATTTCCGGCGAATCCGTCGGGGTTGAGGGGTCCGCGGCCGGGGGGTTGGTGGTTAGTACGACACCTGGGGTTGAGGGGAAGGGCGGTTGTTTCGTTTCGAGGGTGGTCTTGGGTGTAGTTATGTGTGTTTGGAACTGGCTGTGGTGAGAGTAGGGCGTTGTGTTTATAGGATCGTGGGTGGGGATGGGGGCCCGTGGGAGGTGTAGAACTTCTTTTTAATCTGGCTACATGTAGCTACGTTACATATGTGTGTATTTGTATGGACATGAGTACGTACATATCAGCTTAGGCTGTAATCTTGTGCCAACATGTACAGTTAGGCTATATATATAGCAAAGAGCCCTTTTTAGGCTCCGTCTCATCACAAGGCTACCGTAGATAAGGGTTTAGAGCATGAAATACACGTAGTAAGTATGAAGCCAATGTCTTGGATGCGCCTTCAACCTTTTTTGGGGAGAGGAGGGATTTTGATTGAATGTCTCGGGGATTTTCTAAAGTGAAGTCGTATATCGAGTGATAATTCATGACACAGACTATCGCTTTATTGTTTAATTCATTAATTGCATGCAGACTTACGTAATTACGTAATTACGTATATGGCATTATCACACATTTTCTCCCCAGAACGCCTCTCCACCCACCGCTATCTCAACAGTAAAGAAATGGAAAGTAACTATAAAAACTCAATCTGTGCTGTCTCCCTTTGCCCTCCCTTTGGACCGACTATGTCTTTTCCCCTGTAGCTTCGATACATATCTCTAGATATAGCCCGGCATTCCTGCATCTCGAACTTGAAATTAATTCCCTCGATCTCGACAACGCCTGTTTTCCTTTCGATGTCTCTAATCTTGAAAGCCTTCTCGCCCCATGTTGTCCCAATGAGTGTCGCTCGGTTTTCGTCGTCTTTATGCCATGCTCATCCTCTCAGTGTATACTGTTCGCTGTTCGATCTATTCCATTCGTCGACAGAGACTATATATCGCGAATAATATTTATTTATTTATTTTGAACTATGGAGAAGGATGAGCGGTAAATATATTTTATTCTATTGATAGAGATTCCGAACTGCGCTGGTTATGGGCGGGAGTGATTTATCTTGAAATGATTTATATATTGGAGTACATACATAGTCTTGGGTCGTAGTGTTCTAGCTACACAGCCCAGAGTAATAGTAATAGTTAAATCTCGGATCCGTTAGATCTCGACCCCCCAAACAGCGTGGGGAACTATATACCGTGAATAGTGTAGGTAGTCATGTATGGCATTGCATATCTTGAGATTCTAGCGAGGTTTTATGACTTTGAGAACTAACCTAAATAGCCAAATAATTGGTCTTGATAAACTCTGACGTTGTGTGTATACGTCTTTCCAGCCCTTTATTTTCGATGTTGGATTTGGTTGTTCTCATTCATCATTGTATTTACACACTGTCTACGGAGGCCTATATTATTAGAACCGTCATATCAACAGTAAACCCTACTTGAATGCCGCAACAACCAGCAGGCAACACATCTCGAAATATCATAACTGTCACGGAGACTTCAAATTTCTAACCTGTGATTTGGGATATATTATTTGAATGGCTTTTGGGTTACTCGTAAGAAAGGAAGCGAACTACTATAGGCCACCAAACTTCTAAAATTTCTAGGTTTCGCCATGGCATTGAGTCTTTTACCGAATTTTCTGTTTTCTAAAAAAAAAAAGATTTATCAGAGGTACTCGGACTGCCTGATTGAAGCTACACAGGCAGAAAAGGTAACTGATCTAATTTAGATAGCAGCTCGACTATCTTCCATCTCCAAGAAATCATCTATCTCCAAGTTGTTAAGCGGTGAACACCACAATGATTTGCAACAGTACAGTCCTATTCGCGGTTGCGACCACGCCCAACCAGCCCTGCTTAGAACATGATATGACGGTTTTAATAGTACAGGCCTCCGTACACTGTCTATGTTAACAGGTTATTGAACTTCGATAAGAGTTAACTCGAATTCTGGGAGCTTGGGATTGGGTGTATGTTCAAGCTCATCTCTACTTAAAGTATTGTCCCAATTGCGCTGGCAACCATTCAACCCCTCCAAACTTGAGGCCCTATAAAACCACAACCAGTAGCTAAAACCAAGTGGATTAAAGTCATAGTCATTTTTATGCCCAAAAGTAATTATCTCCTGCTTTAATTATCATGGTTATGGTGGTGGTTGGTGGGCCTATAAAGGAAATGGTGAGATCGATGGTTTCTATCGCGAGAGACAATACTTAATTTCACCGCAAGTACATGTAGTACGTTAATTAGTTGGTATGAAAACAACGTATATATCGATTGATTTAGGTGAGCTAATCGTCGGTAGAAAAGGGTTTTGTAGTGTGAAGAGTGGAGCAGTGATTTCAATCCTTAGTACTCTAGACACATATATACTCGAAGACAAAGGCAGCGGATCGTGTAGAATCAAAGCGTTCTAGATATAGATAGCGAGTAAGAGATGCAAGGTATAGAAATCATGTTTTATACGGAAGCTTTGAAGGATAACCCTCGGGTGAAGTTTTTCGATCCTAAATGCTCCCCACTATCTCATAACCCATCCTCTGTAAAAGAGGACTAGTGATAATCTCTTTCTTCGTTGGGTATTTGCATCACATAAGGGGACAGTATCACACTTCTAGTCATACGTCATCATTTATTTCCCGCAGATTTTCCCTTTCCCCTTCTCCTGAACCATCTATCTCATGCGGTATCAACTCTAGCACATTTTCCGAGGAATTAAATCGCCATGTATATACACATATACATTCGGGTTGTATGAGAACATTACAAATTTCATGAATTTCCCTCGGCCGCACAAATCTCCATAGCATCAGGGTCTGTATGTGAGTCCAGGGACTGTTTGACAAGTTCTAACTTTCTGTCTTGATAACGCATCATGTCCTGATTAGAGGTTAGTATATACACCTGGGCTACAAAAGGAGTGTAAAGAAGTCTTACGATCTCAAATGAGTCTTTCATGATATACCTGGTAATCGTAACGTCTCGGCGTTGTCCAAGTCTATGCACACGTTCTACCGCCTGCTGCTCGATCATCGGATTCCAATGTGATTCTAAAACATGGACTTTGGAGGCACAGGTGAGGTTTATACTACACGAATTTAGGGCCTGTCATATTCAACAATTTTATGCTGGACTGAGTTTTGTGAATTACATACCCTAAACCTCCAGCCATGAGAGATACTAAAATTACGATCACCTGTGGGTTTGTAGAGAAGTTGGCGAGCGTGTTGTTTCTTTGCAAACGTGACATTGAGCCATCGAGGCGGCAGAACATGATACCATTGGATACGAGGGCAAGGCCAATTAAATCCAGCATTCTTGTCCAGCTTGAGAAGACAACGCTAAAGAGAGATGATATATGTCAGCAGGATTCATATACATGCGGGGAAATTGATCGGAGTATAGCGTATATAGAGGGCTCTTACTGTTTTGAAACCGGTTCGCGGTTCATAATGTCCTCAGAGGTACAGGTTTTTATAGAATCGATAAGTGCTTGGACCTTTGTCGAAGGCCCTTGATAATTTGGAAAGGCAGTTCCTATATTTTCTTGAACTCTAGTGCACAATCCACAGCCAGGGCTGGGGGTGTCTCTATCCTCCGGGACAGCTCGGATATTTGAAATCTGCCCAGCATCCATTTCCCAATCCCTTAGCTGCATATCGCAAATTGAACAACGAATTTCGACGTCTCCCCGAGGTAGAAGGTCTTTGCCGTGATCACAAATTAATCTCAGTCTAAGAAGCACTTGGAATGTACTGTCACAAGCACTTTTGACAACAGAGCTTAGTTTGTCTTTGTGGCTGTCATAAAGTATTCTTTCGCGATTATTGAAGTCGAGGTATTTTATGTTTACAGTCCGTGTAGGTAATCTATCACCTATCGTTTCTTTTGCTCTTCGGAGACATATCTGTCGTAATACATCACGTAAGGTCTTCATCCCAGAAGCATCTCCAGCCTTCCACTTGGCAGTAATATGGCGATCAAAGTTCTGTTTGGTATTTAAAGGTTCGAGTCTGAGAAATTTGAACAGTATAGCGATATCGGTGATATCGTTTTGCAATGGTGTTCCAGTAATACACCATCTTCGATCTGCGGAGATGGCACATGCTGCCTGGCATTTAATTGTTGTTTGAGTACGGATCTCATGCGCTGGAAATATAGGTATAAGCAGTTATTTATTTTGAATTTCGGGGGATTGCACCTTCATCTAAGACTACTCTAAACCAATCGATTGCGTACAAAGGGCCACAGGAAGAGGAGTTCCGTGTAGGCTTCCATTCTTGGGTAAGGGTTTGGAAACTGGTGAACACAATATCATATTGGCTCAGTGCTCGGGGATTGGTCGGTTTATTTCTACGGTAATAAACCAAATATCTTAAAGCTTTGGGTTGGGTGTGGCTATGGGTGCTGTTACAAACGGTTATAAGAAGCGACTAATTAAGAAAACTCACACTGCTATTTGCCCTTCCCAGTTCCCCAAAACTATACACATGTAGAAGAAGAAATGCCGAGTTAGTACATATGAGAACTAGCCCTGCTGGGGTGTTCGTAGCTTTGGCTTTGGAAATGACTGACCTGAGACAGGCGCAACTATTAATGTGGCCCCAGAACGAATCATCTCTCCAGGGACTGAAAGTAGACAACCACTTCTAGTATTCAGTGCTCGGGCTTCATCGAGAGATCTAACTATTAGCGATAATATTGTTAAAGTCTTTCCCAATCCCATATAATCAGCAAGGATTCCTCCTCTATTTGAACTTTAAAATTCGTCAGAAGGTAAATATAAAATTCCGGTGGTAGAATTCTCACTAGTTTCCGGGATAGGACGAGTTTCGTTCAGCTTGTTCTCTCATGGCAAGAAAGTATAAACCTTGGCTCTGGTGCCTAATATTGATGTTAGCTAACACCGACTTGTTTTGTACTAGTTTGAGCCTTTGGACATACTCATATAGGGGAGTCTTTAAATATCTCTTATCACCAAGAAGCTTACCTTGGGTCGTTGACCCACAGAGCCCATCAAAAATGTGGGATAAACTTGCATGAACGGATACCTCGTCTTTCGTGTCCCTTATCAAGTTGTCTACTGGTATGACCCCGCCTGTTAAAGTGGGTTTCGTGATGTATATTATAGACCCAGGTCTCGATAGAAAGTGAGGGTTGCGATAAGGATGCCCTGGTTCTGGGAATTTGGGATGCTGTAAGAAAACACTATTTTTGGATAGGAAAAGCCCAATTTTGCTCCTGATAGTTGAATCCCCATAGATATTGATGAAAATCTTTATATTTTGAGCTTAGGCTTGTCTTTTACCTTGCCGTTCTATGACCTCTTCGAAAGGCGGGAATGTCAATGCCTGCATACGGACCAAAGAGAAACCCAGTAGTGGTAAGAGTACTACAGATAATGAGGCTAGGAGGCGTCCGACTGCTGGTGACGTGGGATAGATATCGATTGCAACCTGTATTTCCTCCTGGATAACCACCAATTTCAGGCTTAGAGGACGGTGTTGAGCCTCTCCTAACCTTTCCGCATGAAGTTTCCGCATCAAGTCTAGGATGGGATCTGTTGAGATTATCGTCCCTTTAATCTTCACTGAAGTTTTAGCTATACATGATATGTAAAGTAATAGAGATCTCTTTGCTGGGACCCCGTAGGAAATTCCCGGCGTTTATGTGTCGGGAATATCTGCCCGATGAAGCTACAAGTCATCGATTCAAACATACCATTCCGAAACATGCTTCTTCATCGCCTTCGTCCAGAACGTTAAGATTGGCCATGGTCATGGTATTGAAATCTATATCTTGCTTTTCCATCCATTCTCCCTGGGATTTGCTGATGTTCGTTTGATTGCCAAATCATCGAGTGTTCCCCCCTTCCGTTCTACCTGGCTGTAGAGGGAGCTTGAGTGAGCAAGATATTAATAGGAACTTGTGAAGGCCTGGGGTTCTATACTTGTTCTAGTTCCTTATAAGGCAACGAAGAGTATCGCGCTAAATCGCTTGGACTCGGGCATGAGCTGTACCTCCCATCGTCTGCACATCGTTGTCTTTTTGTGGGCCCTTCATTAAAGTCATCCTCACTGCCTGGATCTTGTAGAAATCTGTTAGATGCCTCTCTAAAGGTTGAGAAAGGGCCGGGGGATTCCTGAGTTGACTCTAAAATAGGCGAGAAAGTAAACTATTAGTCTGCGAACTAGCTAATGGTATATTGTCTGACATCGCTCGTGATCGTTCAAATAAGAAGGTTTGTGGATCAGCTGGGAATCAAAACACCGTGGTCAACGTCCTAACGTATGAAGCATGTGATAGGTAGATACATGCATGCAAGGTATCAGGTACATAGATAACATATTCCAGAGTATGTACTCGGGGCAGGTATGAAGAACCTGAACATGAGTGTTGGCTGTAACGGTCTTTGATTCGCGCATGTTTGAACTAACTGCAAATTAATCCCTGCCTGCATATTTAATGTTCAGGTTCTTGCCTGCCCCGAGTAGCTACATACATATATGCGGCTGACTTATAGATTATGCTTTGGAGCTCTATCTGGAACCTAACCCCGCACCATCGATTCGCATTATTATCAACTTCATAACCTTTACCAGTATGACAACTGCGTTTGATAGAGCTGCAAACAGATTCCTGGCAAAGTTTACAGACGAGGAAGGAAAGAAGTATTTTGGCCAACCGACTTCTATAGACGATATCTGGGATCTGTTAGCGGATTTGCAAGCTAAACAGTCGTCCCGTGAAGGGTTGAAAAACATGGCGCGCATCGAGCCATTTATCAATGGAATGACTCAATACTCAAAAGTGATAGAGGTTTTTATACAAGTAAAGCCTGATATCTTGGCTCTGATCTGGGTTCGTTAATCATATCTCATTGTCACCTTAGTAACCACATGAACATACATGTACTGACCAGAGTACAGGGCCCTCTGAAATTGTTTCTTCAGGTATGCTCGTCGTACTAACTCTCTCTGGAAATGGGCGCCGCTCATAATTGCTTTCTACAGCTGGCTAGTCAGTTCACTGAGATCTTTGAGAAAGTACTGGATGCGATAAGTCGAATAGGGGAGAATCTTCCACGGCTCGGGAGGTTTTCTGCGGCATTCTCGTTGAATGATCAGATTCAGGAGGTCATAAGCATTGTATATGTAGATATCATGGATTTTTACATATGCGCCTGGAAGTTCTTCAACCGTAGAGGTGAGATCAAATCTGTCGAACCACAGACCTACCACATGAAGATTTGGAAAATAACATCCCAGTTACATCTCACAGTATGGAATATTATATTCCATTTGACATGGACTTCCTTTGAAGACCAGTTTGGTCCCATCCTCAGAAACCTGCAAAGGCACCAAACTTTGGTGGACAATGAAGCTCGTGCCGAAGATATCATACAATCACAGAAAGCCCGAGAAGAGGAACTAAAGCGGGCTGAGGAACGCCAACTAGATGATATGCATCGAAAGCTGAAGGATATCTTTGACTGGCTTGAGCCAGTCAACATTGTGGATCGTAGGGAGAAATGTGGGCACATGAAGCAAGATGGTACCGGTAAATGGCTCATAGAAAGCAAAGATATAAAGGACTGGATCACCGGGAAGGGGAAACAGTCGGTTTGGCTGACAGGTAAACCTGGTTCAGATAAGATAAGAGGGGATGGTTACGAGAGCTCTTCTGACGCCTAGCCCGGTATCGCTAACATCTAATCAAGGGAAAACAGTTCTTTCGTATACACTTTTAGAGCAGTTAGAGCTGGAGGTGGCATCAATAAACCCCTCTAGTTTATTCCTTTATTACTTCTGTAGCTACGAAGAAGCCGACTTGATAACTTGCCTGAATATCCTTTCCACATTGATCTACCAGATAGTCTCACAGAAGAAAGACCTCCTTGCATACATTTACCCAGAAATTACGAAGATCTTATCGGTATCAACGCTTCAAAAACTTTTGTACGATCTGATCGAAGCCTCTGTTCCTCCTTCTGGATTTGTCTATATTATTATCGACGGGCTTGATGAACTTCCAAAGACCGAACGTGATAGGTTATTGCGCATTTTAGGGGTTCTCAGGCGAAAGCCATTGAGTTTAGCTTCTAGGATATTTGTGGCAAGCCGGGACTTGACAGAAATACATGCTGTGTTACAGAAAGTGGAGAAGAATAGACCCTCGGCCTTGGAGATTTCGATAAACGAAAACAACAAATATGATATAAATCGATATATCTTTTACGAGTCATGGAAGTTGGTGGAAGATTTTCCTTTCAAAGAAGAACAGCAGTTATCTATCCAGAGGGAAATCGAAAATAGTCTTTCTACACGGGCAGATGGTATGTGAGCCATATCCCATTAATTAAGCTTTCTGACAAGATATATAGGAATGTTTCTCTGGGTTCATCTTGTCATCGAGGCTTTACGCTTACAAGACTCAATTCAAGAAATTCGCGAAGCCCTAGACAGTTATCCGAAAGGATTAAATGAGGTGTAAGTAAGCAGCTTTAGATTGAAGTCAAAAAGCAAGGCTAAGATATTAGTACTAACTAAATCATATTAACTACATTTACGAGAGAATTATAAATAGAATCAGACGTTTGGATGAAAGGCAGAGAAGCAAGGCAAAAAAGACCTTGGAGTGGATAACCTACACATACCGCCCCTTGAGGATTGATGAGCTCGAGGATGCTCTATCAATGGAACCTTGTGATTTCACTTTGGACCAAGAAAAAGATCATACATTATCCGCCTGCGTCGGCTTTGTGGACCAATAATCGAGCTTTCCGGGGGGGTTGTAATCTTTGTTCATTTTACGGCAAAAGAGTTCGTCCCGGTTTTATTAGTATTAAAACGAAATATGCTAAGATGGGCACAGGTACCTTCTGAGTAAACTCAGTGGACCTTTCATTGACCGCATAAGCTCTCACTTAAGAATTTCTATAGTCTGTATAACGTATCAATGTTTTCACTGCTTTAGGCTGGGTATTTCCAGTGATGAGGCTGTTAGATTTTTACTTAACGGCGACTTGAGACTCTTTAATTACGTTCATTCGAACTGGTTCGAACATATCCAGGAATTTTGCGGGTCCGGCCCCAGCAAAGAACAGATCGAGACTCTGTCGACATCGCTCAAAATACTCTTCCGGAAGCAACCTGTCTATAGGAACCCATATCAGACCTGTGTTGAATCGAAATCTAGGTCAAGCTCTGGCCTGAGTGAAATTTCTGGAGCCAAGGAGTTTTCTTGTTTCGAGCCTGATTTGAAAGCCAGCCTTACAGCTATTCTAGAATTTCGGGAAGGATTCGAAAAGCGAAACCCGAAGTTGGGCCCTGGAGAAGGTACGTGCTACCGGTGACGTGCTTTAATAAAGCTGGTCATCACTATGGCATAGTCATATATATATATATACAAGGGATCTTATTAACATGATAATAGAACTGTCCCGTTGGTGCGATGAGAATAATCCGTTGACATTTGCAAGGGGTGCCCGGAGACTTCAAGATGTCCTTGAAGAGTTACTCAACGAGAAGCCACCTGATCATGCCAAGATGGAAAAAGCCCGCAAAGCTTACGGAGAAAATCTCTATTTCTGCAGATATCGGTTCTGTCAGAATTCCTCGAGTGATGGATTTTCGACCTCCATGAGGAGAGGTTACATATCAAGCCGCACAGATGTCTTATTGAAGGTTGCACTCTCGCGACAGCTCGGCCATTTACATCCAAAGCCCTGCTCCGAAAACATATAAGCAAATACCACACTGTTGCACACGATAAAACCTCTGCTGTGGATATTGAGGTACATATTTCTATAATTCCCTGCGCGATTTTAGAGCTCCTTTCTAGACTTTTCTGTCTGTCGGGTGGTCCCAGAAAATGTGCGTGAGAGAAGTGAAACAGCTGAAGCTGGGATTTTGGGGAGGTGATGCCGTTTCAGCTCCTCAGCATTGGTAGAATTACCCGATAGACAGAATAGAGAGCAGGCAAGTAGCCACATGTGTAGTGGCCATCATACAACTTTCACGTAAATACTGGAACAACTGTTCGCGCATATGTGGGTATATATTGCTTGAAAATTCAATTTGGACTAATCTAGAATTTAATGGTAGATCTTGAACGAGATATTCCAAACGATGAAAGATGGAGGCAGCACCCCTCGAGCCAGAAGAGATTTGGGTGAGATTTCACTGATGCAGAAACTGGCTCGGAACCAACAAGAACTTTCGATTCTTGAAAATCAGAACCGGAAAAAGTCACATGAGGCGCTGGAAACCCGATCTACCGAGACCGAGCTACAAGCATGGCACGCGTACGAGCTACAAATACTGGAAGAGCAAGAGCTACGGGACGAGCAACAAGCACGGGACAAGCAACAGATACAGGACGAGAAAAAGTTCGAGGACGGGCAAATGACCTGGGAAGAGTTGCAAACCCGGAATAAACAACGGGCCCGGGACGAGGAACAGGCCCGGGAAAGGGAAGAGAGGTGGGACGAACAGGATGAGAGGCAGGGGCGAATAACCATGGATGAACTTCAGGCCCGGAGAAAGCAACGGGCCCGGGATAATGATCGGGCCCAAGACGTGCAACAGTTCGAGGACGGGCAAATGACCTGGGAAGAGTTGCAGTCCCGGAATGAACAACGGGCCCGGGAAGAACAACGGGCCCGGGAAGAGCAACAGGCTCGAGACGAGCAATCCATCTGGGACGCGCAACGGTTTGAGGACGCGAAACAATTAGAGGAGGGGATCAGAGAACTGATCTGGGAACGTGGGGAAAAGCGGAACATGCAAAGGAAACAGGACGAGCAACGGGCCCGGAATGAACAACGGGCCCGGAACGAGCAACGGGCCCGGAACGAGCAACGGGAACAGGACCGACAGCTGGCCTGGGAGAAGAAATTTTCCCGGGACAAGCAACGGGCTCTAGCACTGGAACACGGCTCCGGCCCGATCGGATATAATCATTCGGAATGGGAGAAGGCCGAGGATCAGTTCTGGGAAGATATTGCATCTTGGATGGGGCCCGCTTTATGAGAGAAAAGGCTCCGGATCGGGAACTTAGCCCTTGGATGACCAAATCAAAAGTTCGTAGCGAGGAATGGGTCTAGGATACGAGGTTTAATGTCAATATTAATACGGGAGAAGTTTCGATTAGCAACGCTTATATTCCACTCCATGCCTAAGTTACAGGGTCAGATCAGTCAGCAAATAGCTGTTCCCTTATAACCCGTCGCTAGTCGGCAATCCCGTGATTCTAGGACAATGGGAGGGTTGGATCGGCTTTTCTTTACTTGATCTTAATTATCCCTTAAACCATCAGGCCTAATTCAAATAACAGGATCCTAACGCAATGTGGAAATCGTGATGTGTAGAACGCAGAATTTGTGCCTGGGTTGTTGTTGCAACATATCATCTATCACACATTATCTAAGCACAAAATTCGTGATGGATTCTGTCGCTGCTGTTCCTGTAGGCGTTCCAGATATCACGATTTCCACATTGCGTTAGGATCCTCTTATTTGAATCCGGCCTGACGGTTTAAGGGATAACAGACTGTGTATATACAAGTATGTCTGTGTATACGATGAAGAATACTGCACTTGGAAGATAGTGTATACAGTACCTAAATATAGATAAATCTCATACCGTTAGACTCCGTAGCACTACGGTATTAAAAACACCCCGATTTCTGATACTATACAATATGTATGTAAATAGTAGTTACTTGACAGCGTGAGAAAATTATTGTAGAAGTATGGGAAGAGCCCTATTGGACGAGTCAGCCACATAAACCCTGTTTTTAGACCCCTGTTTCTAAAATAATTCTATCTCTCGCTGTACTTCCCTTTGGGGGGGGGGGGGGGGCTATAGCTGTGTTGTGTTATATAAATGTATATAGCATAATCTCCTTACATATAAGGGTACAAAAGTGGCGCGAAGTCGTACGGGCGTGTACCCTTATAGGAGGAGCAAATTTGTACCTACGAAGCCCATTGAGGACCCCAAACACCTACCCTTATAAGGCGAATACCCTTATAACCCGAACCCTTATAAGGAGATTGTACTGTATAAGCATACAAACCAATTAATCATTACGACCGATTGATGGATGATGAGGTTGGAACGGATGTATAGGTGTCCTACTCTATACATGTACATTATATCTACGTTATTTTATAATTAGTAACTTGGATTACATTAAAACTTCGATTTCTTGCTCGCTGCATGTACCTACTGGAGGAACAAAGCTTAACGTAACGACGTCGAACGAGCTAGTCCTGATATCTCAGCCAATCAATTGGCTAGATACCACTCTGTTTAGCTACATAGCTTCCAACATTTCTTGTCGTCGCCCCAAAAGGTTGAGGGGTCGAAAGGTTGGTGTGTGAATTAAGAGTTCCATCCAGGAGGCTCTATGATACACCTACGGTCACGGGAGCGCGCTAGATGGGTGTAAACATCGGTACAGGCCTGATATGGGAGGTGTTGGAGTAACGTTCCACCAAGCGCGTTCACTCTTCCACTCTACTCGGCTCATACAGTACTCTGTGTTCCCTTGTTCATCTTATACTTACACTCTGGCTCATGGTATGAGGAGCAACGAAGCTACAGTTACTACGAACATTGCCGACTACATCATGATGCGAAATAGACGCTGGTCTGCGTCTAGAGGCTGATATCACGAGAGGTGCAAGTGCGCTCCCCCGCTCGCTCGCGATGGAACATAGGATAGGCTACTGGTCTAGCTAGCTGGCTGGCTAGGGCTGAATTAAAGGTTTCTATATTTACCCATGGCCTGCTATCAAAACCACCCCCAACCTATGCCCGCATCTAGAGTACTCTAGAGTAGAATCAATTGATCAAGCTTCTCCTCTCCCTCCTCTACAACACGACACGACCACCGCATACCGCATACCGCGTTGAGTTACCGGAGGCTGCACGAATACCGACTTGCCTACAGTAGAGTAGGTACGATATGGAGATCCTTGGCCCATATCCTCGAGTTCCTTGTTGCCCGACTAATAAACGCCCAGAGCTAGGCGAAGAGCTAGAGTGCTCGGTTAAGGATTTAACGTTGGCGGAGTGTGCCGACTAACGTTAGACTTGGGATTTACATTATATCTCACTGCAAAAAACTTCTTTAAGGGCCAATGGGGCTATAGGGCCACGGAAACCCACTTTTGCAATAATTCTACCGGAAACTGTGCCTACAGTCGTTCACGGACACTAGGCCATGTTGCGAATAGGAATCGTTGAAGAGTATCGGTTCTTGAGCTTGGCTTTCTCTCGCTGTCTAGCTTCACCTTGTCAACGACCCGGGTTATATATGACCTAGGTTTATGAATATCCTGCCACAGGATGAGAGCTACATACACACATCGTAGTTTCGAGTAAGTACACTACAAGTCTACACTCCAATTATTACACCGCAGCTTAATCTACGGTGGCAGCCTTCATCACGACTCCACGGTACATACCGTCTGTAAGTACTCTCTTCTACCCCACCCACCCGCCAATTTTCGTACACCATATCGGTCTCATCGAGAGGAAGACCTCTTTCCCCCCTCTCTCCTGGTGGAACCATCCACCACACGACAGTTACTATCTCATAATGGTGTAACCACAACACCAGGTGCAACAGAACATATATCGGATGCCAAGGCCAGCCACAAAAGCCTTGGTTTGGCGGTACATACCGGCCTTGATATAGCGGAACCTCAGCCTCCTCTAGCTAACTACCAGTCCAGTATGAGAGCTCGTAGTTGGGGGAGGTCTGTTAAACCACCCCCGTGGGGATGGGATGAGGTCGTTAGATCCGATATGTTGAGGGGGAGGCTATGGGTTTACCTCCCTCCTTCCCTACCTATTTGATGTTAAAATCCCAAAATGGAGTAGCTACTCTCCAGTGGAAGGACTTTGCCTTATTGAAATTCCCAATACGGGTGTCTTAGACATGTACCAAAACTGCGTGCTCTGTTGGTGGGGGCCTATTTTTTGGTGAAGGTTCACGTAGATGGGAGCATATCCAACATCTATCATTCAAAAACGCTTCGATGTCTCTGACACTCGGATTGGGAACTTTCAATTTTTTCTCTCTCAAGCAAACGATTTTGACCACTGACAACCAACCTGGAAATCGCAATATCCACACGACCACCTCAATTCCATATCAACTTGGCACGCACACACATATGCGCCACAAAATTAAGCTTAAGCTCCAATCCGGTCATAACGGCCAGTAAAAGACAATGCCTTAAACCAGCCAGCCAGCTGATGCCATGAGACCCTGAGCGAGGGAGCGAGAAGTGAAGGCTGGTATAAAAAGCTATCCTCCTCCTCCTTTTCCTCCATCCCGCCCTCCTGTTCCTCCATCCCGTCCTCCTGCTCCTCCGATCTACACGTACAGCCTACATAGCTCTCGTCTCCGCCGACCAACAACGCAAAAATGCATCTCCCCACAATCTCCACCCTCGCACTCCTTCTCTCCACCCCAGCTCTCGCAGCCCAACGGTAGCCTCCCCTCTCCCCCTCATGACCCACCTCACCCGCCGCCCAGGCAGGCAGGCAGGCAGGCAGGCAGCTAACACCCCCACCTCTCTAGGAAATCACGGCGAGCCACAGACCTAGCAAAAGCCGAAATGGAGGCCCGCGTACAAGCCTGCGCAAATGCGGTCGCGGTCGGGGCGATTGACGGCGACTACTCGTCGATGCCCTCTTACTGCTACGAGGACAACTACGGCCTGGACTCCACCACGGATTCGACGACGGGCAGCAGTGGTAGCGGCAGCGGCAGCGGCAGTGGTTCGTCGAGCGGGAGTGGTTCGTTGAGTGGGAGTAGTTCGTCGAGCAGGACTGGGGCGGGGGTGAGGAATGGGGCGGGAGTTGGAGGGGCGCTTGTGCTTGGAGTTGTGGCGGTTGTGGTCGCGATGCTATAGTGGTATTGACTACATATATGGCCTTGGGGGCAATATCTTATTTGTTGTAATGTTGTAATTTTGTGGTACATACATGTATGCGGTGTTGGTGATAAGGATATGGATAATTATAATGAAAGTGCTTTACTTTGAACCTACTGAGCATTAATCAACCCCAAGCCCACAAGAAAAACCGCGATTTTGTCTGATCTGATATACTTCTCTCTCCTAAGCACTCAATTAATAAAAGATCACGGAACCCACTCTCACATACCCACATATATCAAGGGACCCCCTAAAAGTTCAACGTTTTATGTTATTGGGGGAAATTAACGTTACGAAAAAGGGCTTTCCCTATTTTTAAAAACTACTGAACGTTTAAATATGTAGCTCTGTGTATCATTTGGAAGCGGCAGCTAGCTACATGTAGCTAAGCTTAGGGGTGGTCGTCGATCCAGCTTATCAACTAGCGTAACCCTAACCCCGGAGTTAACCCCTGCCCCTTCGAACCGTGCGCGACCTTTACCTAACCCTGAGATTTACACCTAACCCTGGTAGTGTAGGGAGTGACATTTCGTGCTCAAACGTACGGTAGACGTGAAAAAAATAAGGTTGGTTGGGGGAGGGAGTGCATATTAGGATTTAGTTTTTTTTTTATGTGCGTTTGAGTGTGGCGCCTGTAGGGACATGGGAGTGATCGAACCGGGGGGCCGGGGGGAGGCAGATTATACATGATATTTTTAAAGGCTACTGATGGAAGACGTTCCTGGATGGAGGGGTGCATACGCTATAGCGAGAGTAGGCTGAATGTACCCTAGGGGCCGGACTCGCTCGCTACCAAAACACGAAAAAAAAAAAAAAATTCTAGATAGGTCTAAGGCTGGTGGGGCCTGTCTCTACAGACCGTGGCAGGGATTTGAGGCCAATGGTTACTTGTATAACTCTATGCGGACATGTAGAGTAGGTAGATGTATTTCACTGTGAGACGCCAAGGGATTATAAACAGATGCTGTCGCCAGGTGGGCGAGTATATATAGTCTAGGTACGTTGTAGAAGCTAAAACTGGTGTGCACAATTGAAGAACATGGCTTGTCTTTTACAACTGTCCCTAGCTGAGCTGCATGTACGTATCTACCTGTCACACGTATGTATATATGACATTGTCGGTTGGATCGAGGAGGTACGTATGTGACACCGGCCGGGCTCTGCTCTGGAGAATATATCTGGCTTGGCTGCTGGAATTTGAGGGGTGAAGAATGAACGCCGCTAGCTACTCCATATACAACTATATCTAGCGAGGTGGTCCAGATCTGAACTCCAATCTGGAGTGAGTGCTGCAGTACGTAGAACATGCCAGCTGGGAGAGCAGAACATGGCGGCCCCCGCGGTGTATGTGTGTCATGTATGTGATGTATGCACGTATGATGTAGCTAGCCAGCCATGAGCCACTAGCTGGATACTCTACAGGTGTCATATCCTTAATTCAGCTCAAAGTGAGTGAGTGAGTGAGTGAGTGGGTGGTATATAAAGACCCAAGTACTCCTCTGATCTGAGATTCTAGCTATATACCTGTACCCAGCCACCCACCGCACCAGCCAGACGCAAACAAAAAATGTACCTAGGCCTATACACCACCCTCCTCCTCCTCATCACCCTGCTCCTCCTCCACGCCGTCCATGGCTCTACCGCTAGCGCTGGGAATATAAAGTATCAAGCTTACCCCACCTCACCCACCTCACCTGCTGCCTAGGCAGGCAGGCAGGCAGGCAGGCAGGCAGGCAGCTAACACCCCACCTCTCTAGGAAATCACGGCGAGCCACAGAACTAGAACTAGCCGAATTGAATTCCCGCATGGGAGCCTGCAGTAGGGCGTTCCAGCTCGGGTTGATTGACGGCGACTACTCGCAGACGCCCGATTACTGCTCGGAGGACAACTATGGCCTGGAGTTCACTGACACGACGGGTGGTGGTGGTGGGGATGCGGGCGGGGATGGAATGGCATGGCTGGAGAATTCCAGGAGTGGTGTGAGTGGTGGGAGGAGGGTGGGAGCAGGTGCTGGGGCGGCGGCAGGGGCGGTTGTGGGGGGTGTTGTGGCGCTTGTACATGTGTACATGTACTGCTGCTGATGATGATGATGATGATGATGATGATGATGAGGTGGTAATGTAGAACATGGCGGTATTTATGTAGCAGAACCCCGCTGTAGATGGATGTATGTATGTATGATGTAGCTAGCTAGCTAGCTAGCCAGCCTCTGTAGCTGGGTGTTGTACTTTCACTATCCTCCAGCTGAAATCGAGGCTGCGAGAACCAAGCCTAGCTAGGCCTATCAAACAGCGAGTGATCATGACTGGGTGAGCATATATATATATATATATATATATAAACCCCCCCCCCCCCCCAATCCCCAATTCCTCCCCCGAGAGTCTACCCACCGCAGTGGCCTCGACGAAATCCCGGCGCAAAATGTACCTCTACTCACGTGTAGCATATAAAGAACCAGAAAATGCATATGCCTAGTAGTTTGCATGGCAGATCAGCGCCACTCCATTCAAACAATCCCTGCTTCGTCACTTGCATTTTCTGCTTCTTATTGCTACACGCGAGTACACCACCCTCCTCACCACCTTTCTCCTCCTCCTCCTTGCTAGCGCTAATGCTTCCGAGACAAGGTATGTACTGAGCTTAAGCTTAAGCTTAAAATTCCCCCTCCCTCCCCCGGGGGCATACATGTAGCCATGCATAAACACTAGTAGAGGCAACCCCCCCCCCCCCCCCCCGGGGGCCCCCAGGACACTACTTGAACCCCGAACGCCACTCACCCAAGCGGAGAGTCTCTATCTCGAGTGGTACTCACGGCAGAAAGAGTGCAGCCGCGGAAACGTAAATGGCGCGCTGGACGCAGACTGGTCGAATGTGCCCGAGTACTGCGGGGAGCCCTATTACGGGCTTGATTTGACGGGGGCGGATATTGATCTGTATATCAACGGGGAGCTTCGTGTGGAGGGTGTCAATGGTGAGACTGGGGGTGCGAGTGCGACTGGGGGTGCGACTGGGGATGGGGATGGCATGGAATGGCTAGAGACTTTCAGGAGCGGTGGGTGTAGGGGTGGAAGGGTTGGCGGTGGAGCTGTCGTAGTGGGCGCTGTGGCGTTTGTGGTTATGATGCGGTGGTAGAACAGTTGTGAGTGCATAGAGTAGGGTTGGTACATATGGGCTGTTGAGAGGGGAAGGGAGAAGCTGGGCCGGCATGGATGAACTTAAGCTTGTTTGTTGTAATCTTAAGATCAGGCATTTAAATAAAAGCTAATATCATGCAGAGTCACTCGCTTGGTTACAGTCCTGTGTAGAGGAGTAGTGACAAGGGTTCTGTCCAATCAGAGTACTCACTTGCACCCTGTAGACCACCAACTAATATGTGCTACCTACATGCAGAACACACACCTGCCAGCTACCACTCCAATAAAGCTAGAGGCGGTAGCACACAAACACCAGTTCGTATTACTCCCCTCCCCCTATGCAACAATAAAGTATTTTCCACCCAATCGCAGCACGCAGCCCAGACAAGCTTAAATGGGTTTTGGTAGAGTACCACCCCATGGGCCACCCCCCCCCCCCCCCCACGGAAATAAAAGGAATAAAAAGCAGTTCAAAGAGCCCCCCTCATTCCTGCACTTTCATCATCACGACATATATACACCACCGAAGATGCTGTTGCCCTTCTCCAGTTGCTTATTTGTGTGGCTTTCTCTTCAACCTGCACTGTTCGCAAAAGCCGAGCAGGCGGCGCCAGCAGTGCAGCCGCTGCAGCCGCAGGATGATGACCTGCTGGTCGTGAGGCCGCCAGGTATTGGCGCTTGGCCGGTGCCGAAGCTGTTTGAGCGGCAGGAGCGTGTCTGTACTGACCCGGCGTATTGTAAGTTCCTGCTTGTTCTAGATCTTAATTGTCAGGCTGAGTTTTGAGGATTTTTTGAAACTGATGGGTGATATGATCATAGCGACGCAATGTGCGGCCGTGATTGCAAATGGGAACTGCTGTGGGACCTCTACTTATTGTGTAATAAGGCCCCGGACCTCCTGGAATCCAATAGGTATCCAACTTGGGAGTTGAGTTTGTAATGTTGACCGCTTTGACTATGTAGTGCCCCGATAACCTTGCCTTCTGCTGCACAAAAGGCGATACTGTAAGTCCTCCAAACTTATAATCCAACACAAAAATCCCCTATTACGTTACCAGGAACATTTCTCACACGCCACCTCCAGTGCCAAGTCGTCAAAGGCGTCGAGAGCTGCTGCCCGCCCGACCGCGAAACCTGCGACGGGCGACAATGCGCCCCCCTAGGGTATGGATACCCTCTATCCCCCCATTCTCCGTCTCCCTCCCTCTCTCCCTCCACAGCTAATTAAACAAATCCCAGGTACGTCTGCTGCAATGCCTACAACCACGTCTGCGGCCCCGGTCAGGACTGCTGCAAGTCCCTCTGCTGCCAGGAAGGCACCAAATGCTGCGGCGACACCTGCTGCGACGCCGGCAACGAGTGCTGCCCGGGCGCCAATGGGGGCAACGGCGGCTGCTGCTGGCCGGGCAATATATGCTGTGGGGACTCGTGCTGCGATCCGGCGTCGCAGACGTGCTCGAATGGCGTGTGTGTGAATAAGAACACGCGGACGTCTGTGGCTAGAACGACGGTGACGACCACGGCGATAACGGCGGGGAGTGTGGTGGAGACGGGGGCAGCGGCGGCGTTGAGAGGTGGGGTGGGGATTATGGCGGTGCCGCTGGCCATGGGGGCGGCTTATGAGTTGGGGGTTGGGTTTTAATTGGGCGTTTATGTGGTCGTGTGCGTTTATGTGTAGTCCGTCTGAGAGCTGGATAATCCTCTCGAATTTAGCAATAATACATAGCTTAATTCTTTAAAGAGATATCTCGTATACAACTATAATTACTCAAGGGGTCAGTTAGGTAACGCTTATGCCGGTGAGGGAAAACATGGACGCACATAGGGAGTTTACGCTCGATACAAGAAGATGAAGTGTAGCGAACAACTAATTGTATTGAAGAGGAGAACCCTCGCTCTTGTCCGTTATTCAGGACTGTCATTAAGGACGCGGTTTTATAAGAGACTGAAGAGAATCGAATTGTATGATTGAATTGATTACTTATTAACGAGAACAGAAGGAATAGGCTCCCTTTATAACAAACAGAGACGTGCCAATTAAACACGTATTATCAGGGCAACCAAGCTCGTTGTCTTGACACAGTACAAATAGCAGATAAAAACAACAAGGACAACCTAAGCCACCCTACCATAACGACAAAATTCGGTGGTCCTAAAGCCATAGCCTCTTATAGCGACAAGTACTAACTAGGGTTAGGGGTAGATCCCGCACTCGACTCAAGAAAACTGCCCGTACCTGCTGGCATTCATTGTAGCGGCCATTCCAAGTATCCGTATCTGAGATGCAAGGCAGCTCCTCCTGGTCTCTAAAACTAACGGGTCACACGAAAAATAAACATTTGCCAGTAGCTCTAAAATTTCTCACCACCTATCACTCGGTGGTGGCGACTAGTCTATAAAAGTGTGCAATGCAACCAGAACGGCCCTCTTATCCACATGCGTACATGAAGTCTATCCTCCAGCGTAAATATACTGCTCCATGTGACTGTAGTAACTGTCTTTCACTCCCCCTTATCTAGGGGACCGCTATAACACCCCGATGTTCTAAGCCTTTCAACATTCCCAAGGCAAACTAGGTATGCCCCGTAACCTTCCAAAGGTTATTAAACCTGATCTTGCTAGCCCTACACCCAACCAGGAACAAAACACTACCCCCCAAAAAAATCAGCTCAACGCCCAGTTCTTCGGGTGGACCAAATTCAACACTTACCAGTAAACCGCAGTAAATGCGACCACGACAGGTCCTCTCTTGCTGCAGTAGATCAGGAGCAAGCAGGTGTTGAGGAAGTGCTCGAAGAAGAAGCCGCGTCCAAGGGTTTTTAGCTGGGCCTGTAATTACAAACCTTAGCTTCTCTCTCTTCCGTTATCCAGTGGGTGGGGGGGGGGGGGAGGAAACATACCGCCACATACATAAACCCATCGTTCGCCGGAAACAGATACCTGCAATTAATGATGACCGCACACAGCGGCTACACCCACCCCATCAGCCCTCTCCCCTCTCCCCCCCTCCCCCCTCCCCAAAGAACAGAACACTCACAATCGACTTCGCCATCTCCCACCCCCACCCCGCCATCAACAGCATGCCCACCGCGAGCCCAAAGCGGCCCCACATAGCCACATACCACCAAAAGTCAGCAGCGACATTCAGCTCCTGCAGCGCACGGATCAAGTTGAGCGCCTCGAGGATGCGGTCCATCTCGGGCGCGAGCGACTTGAGCGGGGCCTCGACCTCGGCGAGGTCGCCGCCGCGGGCGATGCAGGCTTCGAGCGTGTGGCGGCTCCTTTCGATGCTTTCGCGCGTCTTGCGGAGCACCGCGGGGGTGAAGGGCGGGCGGGGGGGCCCGTGGGTGAGCCAGTAGCCTAGCTTGCTGCGATGGGGGTCTGTGTATTGGGTTGTCATTTTTGTGGTGGTTTGGAGCGTGGAGAATCGGTGATGGTGGTTTTGGGGATTGGGGGGGGGGGAGGGTGATGGTGATGGTGATGGTGATGGTGTGAGGTTGATGGTGTGAGGTTGAGGTTGAGGTTGGCTTTAGGTTTGAGGACAGCTGCTAGCTTTCTATTCCTGTTTCCATGGCTGTGGCCGATGTTTGCTTCCACGTGCCCGCTCCACGCTGCGAGTGATACTCACCACATATCACTCGGCCCGCTCCGTGTTCAGCACACCTCCACATCCGGCCAACGCTACTACCCAACAGACCTCAGAATCCTAGTAGACACAAGGAGATCTTCTTTACTTGGCTGTTCCCGGCCGCGTTCAGGGCCAGACTTGCACTCGCACGGATTTCGGTGTGTAGAGGTAAACCTAACCCTGGCTTCAACACCTGACCCTCAACAGACCTACATGTATGTGCAGAGACACCAGCTCACGCACTCTGTTTCTGCCGTCTTGTGATGTTGGGATCTATTCACGAGGTTGTACTCTACATGCATGTACATAGCCACCACCACAAAGCCATATATACGTTCCATGCTGACCACGATACTCGAGTTCCACCAAAAGATTTTAGGCTCCTGACAACAATATCACTGAGTCAAGACACGCATTCACAACCCGTCACAGGTACCGATATAACACTCATGATCGATCAAGGGTATATTCCACACCCGGGCCCTCCACACCCCAACTACTCAGCTCATAAATACAACCCCCCCCCCCCCCCCCCCAATCCACAAAACAAAAAAAAGCGATAATTAAATATCCCTATAACACCCCCATCTCATACATCATCATCATCGTGAGAAATCGTAAGAAGAAGAAGAAGAGAGTGGAATGTAGGTAGGTAGATAGATAAGAAAAATGGAAGTGGTATAAAGGAGATAGTAGATACTAATTTCAGCGCCACGCTCGTTTTAAAAAAAAAAAAAAAAAGACAACACTCATCCTAGTCGCCGCCATAATCACAAAGGGAACAGAGTAAAAAAAAAAACAGAAGAAGAAGAGGAGGAGGAGCGGAAACAAAGCAAGCACCGTGCCCTTGAAATAAAAGTTAACCCTACATGCCATGTCCTAAAAATGCCCAACGCGAAACCAAAAGACACAAGGAAAAAAAAGACACAAGAAAAAGAGAATATGCAATATTTGTAAAAGGGTGATATATAGTAAAAAAAAAGAAAAAAAAAAAAAAAAAAAGGAAAAGGGGAGAAGGAGTGCCAGCTAGAAAACTACATGTGAACTAGCCAGCTACAACTACTCATGCAGCCACCGCAACACTCCTAATCAGCTTCCCGGCCTCCTCCCTCCCCATCCCCTCCACCGCCATATTCCTCGCCAGGCTCCCACTCCTCAGAACCTTCATCCCCTCCTCAATCTTCCAGCCCTCCTCCTCGTCCACCAGAAACACATACCGTCTCGCCTCCGCATCCCTGATCGTCGCGCGGACCATATGCATGCCTGCCATGCCACCCCCGGAGCGCTTCATCTGGAAGCAATCACGATAGCACGTCTTCTGAATCCCGCATATAACCGCATCCAGGTCCTCCTCCCCCGCGCCCTTCTCGACGCTCGATCCCCCGGGCGAAAACAGCCTTCGCACAGGATTCGACTTTATGGATGAGCTCTTTGTTGAGCCGGTTGTTGACGGCGGGGGGGGGACGTAGCGCGGGCAGAAGATCTCGACGAGCTTGATTGTCCATGTCTTTACGTCGTAGTCGCGCAGGCCGGTTGCCTTGAGGACGTCGTCGAGGAAGAGGCCTTCGGTTGTCATGCGGAGGATGAGGGCTTCGCTGATGCCGCCCTTGCCCGGGAGCAGCTGGGACTGCGGCTTTGTCGGGTTGCTGTTGGTGAATGTGTAGACGGCCTTGAGGACGATCTTGGAGGGGTCGGAGGTGGTGTATGCTTTGCGGGGGGGTGAGTGGGGGGGCGGCGGGGGGGGTGGGGAGGTGCGGTGGCCTGTCGAGGAGGTGACGTTCGTCCTATGTGGGGGAGGCGGGGGCGGCGGTGCGTCGAACTGCTCGGTGGTTGGTGGGGGAGACTTGACATGCACGGAATGTGAGGATTTCAGGTGATATCGCGAGTTTGTGGATGTGTCGCTCATTGGCCTGCGCGTGCCTGAAGGGGGCGGTGTCTGGTATGAGGATTGCAGTGATTTGGTCGAGGAATGATGTCTTCGGGGTGTCGACGAGATCTGCTCCACACGCTCGTGCTCTGGCCGTTTGGCACTGCTCTTCTCCCGCACCAGGCGCTGGTGTCTCTCCCATTCCAGTCGGTCGTGCTCCGATCGTTCTCGCTGTCTCTGCTCCTCTGATTGTCTCTCTTGCTTCTGTCTCTCCACTCTTTCCCGCTCTTCTGCTTCCTGCTTTTCTCGCTCCAGGGCCTTTGCGGCCGCTCTCTCGCGCTGGAGTCGCAGTCGCTCCGCTGCGGCCTTTTGCCGGGCCTCTTTCTCTTCCTGCTCCTTCTCTAATCGTTCCCTTTCCAGGCGTTCTCGCTCGGCCTTTTCGCGCTTCATGCGCTCCTCGTGTTCCCGGCTGGCCTCGACCTCTTCCATCAGCTCTCGCCGGAACTTCTCGCTCTCCTCGTTTTCCCTTAATATCCTCTCCCGCGCCTCCCGCGCCAGTCTCTGTCGCTCGGCCTGGAGTCGCTCTTCCTCTGCGCGCTCCTGCGCCAGCATCCGCCTCTCCTCTTCTTCGCGGGAGAGACGCTCCTTGTCGACCTTGTCGCGGATGTCCTTGATGCGCTCCGACTCGGCCAGTTCCCGCTCTTCCTTCTGTTTCTTCTCCTGCCGTTCCCTCTCGAGCGTTTCCTGGGCCTTGCGCTCCTTCTCCGCGGCCTTGAGCCTTGCAAGACGCTCCTTTTCCGCCCGAACCCGCTCAGAGGCAAGGCGGGCGCGCTTTTCCCTGTCCTCCTTTTCCCGCCTGATCCGCTCCTGCTCCAGGCGCTGTTTCTCCAGCTTCTCCTGCTCCAGGCGCTCCCGCTCGAGGCGTTCGGTCTCGATACGCTCCTTCTCGAGCCGCTCCTTCTCGCTCTTCTCCCGGAGCCTCCGTTCCCGCTCGAGCCGCAGGCGCTCGGCGGCCTCGCGCGCAATGCGCTCCTTCTCCTTGGCGGCTTGTGCGGCCTTTTGAATCTTGAGCCTCTCCAGGCGCTCCTTCTCCGCCTTCTCCCGCTCAACGCGCTCCCTCTCCTCCCGCTCGCGCTGTAGCCGCTCCCGCACCGCCCGCTCCTCCGCCAGCCTTTCCCGCTCCAGCTCCGCCAGACGCTGCTGCTCCTCGCGCTCCCGCTCCACCTTCTCCTTCTCCCGCCGCTCCTTCTCAACGCGGATCTTCTCGCGGCTCTCCCTCACCCACCTCTCCTTCTCGACGCGCTGCAGCTCCGCCATCCGCTTCTTCTCCACGCGCTCCGCCTCGAGCCGCGCCGCTTCCCGCTGCTCGTTCTCGACCCGCTGGCGCTCGGCCTCGGCCGCGGCGGCCAGCCGCTCGCGTTCTACGCGCTCGCGCTCGGTGTTGCGCATCTTGGCGAGCATGTCGCGTTCGCGGCGCTCGCGCTCGGCCTTGATCTTTGCGAGGCGCTCCTTCTCCTTGCGGTCCTTGTCGGCGCGCTCGAGCTGCTTGCGGAGGCGCTCCTTCTGCGCGAGCTCTGTGCGGAGGCGGTCCTTTTCGAGCGAGTCGCGCATGGTGGCGAGTTCGGCGGTGAGGCGGTTTGTTTCTGCGGTTTGTTGGGCGAGTTCTTCCTGGATGCGGGCGTTGCTTTCCTGTTCTTCTTTTTCCCGCTCTTCGGCGGCGGTGGTCTCACGTGCGAGCTTTTCCTTAGCCTCTTCTTCTTTTTGGGATGCTTCTGTTTGGGTTTGGGGTTTGGTTTTGGTATCCTGTGATGTTTCTGCTTGTATTTGTGATGTTCGGTCCTCCTGCTTTTGGGCTTGGGCTTGGTTTTGATTTTCCTGTATTGCTACTCGGTGCTTTTCCTGTTCCTCCTCCTTCTTGGGGCGCTCTTGCACCTTCTGTTCCTTCTGTTCCTTCCTTTCCGCCTGCTTACTGCTACTAGTACTACTGCTACTCTCCTCCCTGTCCTTTTCCCGCTTCGCCGGCTTGCCGTCTCCCTTCTCCTGCTTGCTATCCGCCTTTTCCTTTTCCTGTCTCTGCCTCTGCTTCGTCTTCACGGGCACCAGCGGCGGTGAAGGCGGCGGCGTGTCCGGCTTAAGCTCGGGCTTCAGGTCTTTAGCTTTCGTCCTTGTTTTCTTCTCCGACACGGGGATAGGGATAGATGCAGGCACAGGTATAGGTGCAGAGGAGGAGGAGGAGGAGGGTGAGGGTGAGGGTGAGTATGGAGGGGGGTCCGCGTGATGATGAGGATCACAGGCAGAGGCAGAGGCAGAGGCAGAGGCAGAGGCAGAGGCAGATGAAGACGCACCCGAAGAAGACGCACCTGATGCTTCTGCCGGTCTCCTCGCAGAGGAAGAAGCAGAACCCGACGACGACGACGACGACTTTGTCTGGCTCCTATGTGGCGGCGGCGGCGGAGGCGGCGGCTGCTGCTGCGGCGTTTCAGCACGTTCCTTATATTCACCCCAACTCTTACTCCCACCGTTCTTTCCCGACCAAAAGTCGTCCCCAGCAGACCGGGCAATGACCGCGCCGGCACCAGCACTAACCAGCGCAATGCCCACGCTCGCCGCGGCCCAGCTCTGCCCCCAGTAGGTCAGCACGGGCGCCAGCAGCTTGAGCAGCGCAAGGAGGGACAGCGTGCTTGCGACGCCGGCGAGGAACGAGTTGCGGTGCACGGAGAGGCTGGGCAGGTAGATGACGCCGCCGCCAGAGTGCTGCGGGACGATGATGACGTCGAAGTTTGGCTGTTTGCTGCTGTCCTTTGAGTTGTGGGGGATGTGGTGCTGTTGGGAGGATGAGGAGGAGGAGGAGGAGGAGGAGGGCTTGGGGAAGGTGCGGTGCGGGGGGGGTGCTGGGGGTTTGTCTTTGCTGTCTCGCTCCTTTGTGTCTTTGTCTTTGGAAGAAGAGGAGGAGGAGGAGGAGGAGGAGGACGGTGTAGAGGTGGAGGTGGAGGTGGAGGAGGAGTGACGGGGCGGAGGAGGGGGGGGCTGGTCTGTGTCTCTGTCTTTTGTTGTGCTGCTGGTGCTGCTGTGGGGTGGTGGTTGTGGTGGTGGCGGACCGCCGCCGCGGTCAGCCGCCATGGATCGGTGTGAGTGAGTGAGAGACGGTACGGTACGGTACGGTAGGGTACGGTAGGTACGGTACCGGTGGGTGCTCGCTCGCTCGTCTCGAGGAGAGAGAGAGAAGGGGGGGGGGGGATGGGGATTAGTGTTGGTTCGTCAGGCAGCCAGGCAGAGCAGCCAGGCAGGGTGGATGACGCAGGTTGGGTTGGGCTAATTCCGGGTTTGGATGGGATGGGATGGGTTGGGTTTGTTGTTTATTATTATTATTATTATTATCCCGTGTAATTGCAATTGGGGATATTGGGATGGGATGGGATATTGGGATGGGGATGGGGATGGGGATGGGGATGGGGATGGGGATGGGACGATGAATGATGGGGGTTAGGTTAAGTCAGGTTGAGTGAGTGAGTGAGTGAGTGAGTGAGTGAGTGAGTGAGGTTGGGGGTGTTAAAGGATGTCAGGTAGAGGCAGGTAAATTGACAATCTCCTTCCCTTAATCTTTTTTTTTTTTTTTCACGAGCAAAAAACGGGAGATTGAGAGAGAGAACCAGAGAGAGCGAGGAACAAAAGAATAATCAGAACATGTAAACACAGTTCCAGTTCCACTTCCACATGCAACCTCCGGGTACGTTAGACACAATTACCAAACGGTGGTGGGCGCAACTAAACGTATGTACTCCGTCAGTCCAGTTTCCAGTTTCCTGCAGGGGTGTGAGTGAGTGTGTGTGGAGGGGGGAGGGGGGGGTGGGTATGGCAGTGTAGGAGGGCCGGCGGAGATGGAGATGGATTTTTCTCGTCTTGTTCTTGTTAGGGGCCAACCTCGCGATTAGACAATTAGACAACAGGTTAATTGCCCTGCTGTGGTGTCTTAATTGTCATGATCGTACGTCTGATGATGGGGCCAAGTATCGCCGTGCCAGTAGACTCGTAGTGTGTGTGTGTGTGAAGGGCCAACAAAAAAAAAAAAAAAAAAAAAAATAGATAACTAGACCCTCCAGTCCAGTGCCAGTGCCAGTGCCAGAACGACTCGAGGATAGCGAAAAAGAGAAGAGAGAGAGAAATCGAAATAAACCAACCTATCTTAACTTGCCTCTCCAAATAATGTTTCCCCACCCGCCGGCCGGCGCACCAAACGCTGCGCACCGTACCAAAAAATGCTACCTATCTAGTATCTAGATCTACTGGCGCGCGCGCCGCGCAGTGTTCAAACACCCACCCTACTTACAGCTCTACAAACTCGGCTCTCGGTTCGCTTGAAGGGTTTTTGACGTCTGCAGGAGCGAAGGGGGGAAGTGGAGGGAGGGGGGTTGGGACGAGTAGAGTATAGCAAGCAGGTGGAGTAATGTAGGTAGAGATGATGTTATGATGGGGGAGGGTAGATCAGAGGGTCTGTTCGGTCTGAGCTGACTGATTGACGACGACTTGTTTCGTGGATATGGAACAGTCAATCGCCACCACCAGCAAGCAAGCAATAATGCAGGCAGGGCAGGCAGGGCAGGCAGGGCAGCGCAGTGAGGCGGAGGACTTCGAATTCGTAATCCTCTAAACACAGTCGAGCAAGCAGGATCGATGGACAAGGGAAAAAGGAGCTCGTCTCAACTCAGGTAGGAAGTGCGAGTACGAACGACTCGTAGTGAGTGAATGGGACGGACGACGACGACGCGACAGACAAGTCTAACGCTTTACAAGTTTACTCTCGTACAGACCTCTATCTACTCCCACTCTACACTGCCAGCTAGAGTGGTGGTGGTGGTACTCTACCAGCTGCATCCAGTCCATAACCACCCCCATCCCCGTAGGTATGCTATCTCCCGTATCCCTATGGTTATGTGGTTTTACCCTCTAGACTGCCACTCTACACCATACCTCGATAGAGTACCGCCGTATCATACCCTGCCAAAACGTATCTAGGTAATATGGTTTGCATGGATGGGGGCGGGGTACTCTACATACTCCATACTCGCTCTGGTAGGTAGAGACATACCTCCTAGAGTAGACTCGTAGAGTAAGTAGTACTCCTACTCCCACTCTTACTCTTACTCTTACTCTTACTCTGCTCCTCCCCCCCCCCCCCCCGCGGCCGGTCTATACCTGCCCTTTTCCCTCTCTTCCATTTAGAACCCCCAGGGAACAGCCAAATCGAAAGAAAAGATTTGTTCGGTAGGAATTCGTCCAGCCTCCCTATTTAATTTTTTTTCTCCTTCCCCCGTCCCCGTCCCACGGCGACCATCCATCCATCCATCCATCGCATCGCATCCCCCCCATCCAAATCCAAATCCAAAACTAAACTAATCCACTCCCCCATCACTATCGCTCGCTACCTACATACACATACATAACGGCTGGCGGAAGGGCTCCCGACAGATTGTACGCGACCGTTTTAACAGGCCGGGAACCCCCAGCCAGGCCTTGGGCTTTGTTTATGATGACTCTTCTGCATGATGATGGGATCTCATTTTTTTCCGTCTGTGCTTATTTTTTTTTTCTCCTTCTCTTCTCCACTGTCCCACCCATGAAACAAAACGGGTGCAGAGGAAGAAAGAAAAAAAAGAGATAAAGGGCCAGATCCAAATTCCCCTCCCACTCAACCCCCCAGTAGCCGCCGAATCTCTCTGAATTGAAGCAATCAAATCGGATAGATGATCTTGCCCCCCCCCCCCCCTCTCTACCTAGCCTTCCCTCAATTCCCTCCGAGATCATGATTGTGATTCCCTGTTGGTTCCTGAGCAGAAACAACACACACAGGCACACAACAACAACAAACTTACGCGCACGGATCGCGCCGTTGCTGTTGCCGCAGCAACCCCAGGGCCCAGTCACGGGATGGAGAACGCGCGCGATGCAAACTGCGCCTGCAAACTGCAAATGCAGCACGGACGGGGCCGCGTCTCGTCTCAGTACCCCGCTCTTCTCGACATACCATGAATCCTGCAGAGAAAAAAAGCAAGACGAGAGAAAGGAAAAAAAAAAAAAAAAAAAAAAGCTTTTGCTAAGAAGAGGACAAGCCAGACAGAGATGAAGTAAAAAAGACATGTACCTAACTAAACTCTCCGTCCGTGGTCAATTGTCAAGGAAGGTGTAACCGTGGTGGACATTTGTTTACCGGTTTTTCAGGCCAGTCGTGTTGGCTTTTCCCGGTTCAGACCTTTCAAGAGGGGCGCCACTGCATACTCTTCCCTGTCTTCCTTGTCTGCCTGTTCGTTCTCGGGAACTCTGATCAGCTAAGATTGTCAGTTGTTCAACCGTTTCAGCAGCGAATTGTAAACGTTGCTGCCCAGGACCAGGGACCACTCCTCCCTCCCTCCCTCCCTCCCAGCCCAGCCACTCCCAATTTCTCACTGGAAGAGGCAGAGGACAGCGAGAAGTGTAACTTTATTTAGCGAGGAGGCTGGGGAAACCGGGCAGTTTGGAGAAAAGGGAAAACTTGGATACATGTGTCGTGTCTATCGTGATGCTTTTGAATTAATCTGCCGGATCAGCTCGTACGTTTTGTTTACTCAAAAATTCGCGCAGAGCGGAATTGTGACGGAGGCTCTTACTGGATTGTCACGCAGTGCAGCTGCGTTACTACTATTTGGTAGCCTGGATTGGTTCGGTGTGACGACATTACTAGCCACTAGTGTCTTGGCTAATTCCAATGCCAACGCCAATTCCTAATTCCGACTCGCAAAGTACCTAGTGGAGTGCTTCTCAGGTCTTGGTGGACTTGATTCATGAATCGAATCTCAAAGCCAAGAATCCATTGATGTCAGCTTTCTATATATAGTGACTGGCTCACGATGTTCTCCATCATGGTGCCCAAACAACGGGTGTTCCGATGAACCACAAAAGGTAGACGACCCATTGGCCGGCCGGTGGGGCCCCGCATGCCTGATAACTGTGCGTTATCTTCAGTAGGCAAACGGCACCCCGTGATCGTCTTGAATCAGGCATACTATCCCGGGGGGCTGCTAAAATTGGGCTCGCCATTGACAAACATGAACTCCGAGTATCATATTCATGCGTCGTGGACCCTGGGTATTGATGTGTAGTTAGGCCATAGTCCAATGAACCTCTCGTTTGAGCCGTTCCCATCGAACGGCGATGATTATAGCTGATGGCGGGATAGACGGGCCCGTTGAAATACCTTTGATTAGCTCTGAGCTATGTAGCGGGCGTCAAGAGAATGATACTTACCCAAGCATTGAGAGGTCCTTTAATATCACATTGACTGTAGCTAGACGCTAACCTTCATGACCAGAAAACTACCACCGTCTCATCGTCCATGAGGCATTAATTTGGACAATATGAGGATTTTGACCAGTTGTTCTAAGAAACGGTACATCTCTCTGGAGATTCCAGACAGCGTTTATATGATCTGCATTGGCCCAGGGTTACTTTACAAACAACTCGGGCCGGCTCGGGCCGGCCCGAGGGCACACGAGACGGGTCGACTACCACGAAGAACCATGGCATATTGATTCCCAGGATAGAACACCAGAGCGGGCAGTACTACATGTACGTAGTGCATGTGCCTAATTATACAATCTTAGCAATTGTCTAGCTCTGTGCTGTCTGCTTGGAGTCATACCATCCCAGTTCATTCCAAATTTAAAGCCTAAGCAAAGGCATTGTTTAACCGGAGATGTGCATTACAGACAGTCCAGCTGGTTTACCATCCAGTCTTCCAGGATTATCCTTCGATCTAAAGGGCCTGTGGTGATATCGCTAGTTTTTACTCTGAGTGATCTTTAGCGGATGCATGAGTTTTATTGACTGGTTCAAATGAGCGTAGGAAGAAGCCTCTCTTATAGTGACAAAATAAGTAAGAACAAGTGTTCCATGGCAAAAAAGGGACACAACGCCTAAGTCGCAAAAGACAACTAACAGCAGCAATGCCTGGATGAACACTTCAAGTTATCATTGAAATGGGTTTACTTTTACATAAGACCTATTATGTAAGATCATGAACTCTCGCTCGGACAGAAACCCAACCGACGGGGGTATCATGTACGCAGCGAGTTACTACCTAACTCACCAAGCAAGAGCTTTAGATGAGTTAACAACAGTCGCCCGCAAGACTCTCGGTTTGCTTTAATATGAGGTATCGATATTTATTCGAACCTCAAATATCGGGGGTCGACGCCAAGACCGCCTAAACAGTCCAAAAACATCCACAAAGTAAAAAAAAAAAACGCGGAATGACAATATCCCAGAGTCGTGATCCTGGAGCTCTGGCCATGAGAATTCTAGAGTCCCATCAAGCTAGAAAGACTACTCAAAACCCGTAGGCCAGTACGAACCAAAGTTGAACTCTAGAACCTAGCGGTCTTCCACTATATCACGACCCATATAATCCGCAAGATCAGCGGTGAGTCTACCTTACCCTCCCATTGTAGCATATTACTATTCCTTCGACACATCAATCGTGAATAGTAAACCCAAAAACCAGAAGATTACTCTAGCTCCTCCCAAGCCCAACACCCGGCACCTACTCCCAAAACTCCCAAGAACCCAACTACCGGGGTGCTGCCTAGCGTACCGACCTAATCCCGATTCCGGTTTTCGGGCTCTACGATTACTTACAAGCCGAAACAAGTCTAGAGTGTACGTACCGATCCGACAAGAGTTTTGATGTGGACTACCACATTCGTATTAGTGCCAGTTGCTAACTAGTACAATACTAGCGTGTCTCAGAGGTCAATGATCTTCATGACGGAATTATTGGACCGGAGAATAGCACGTCATAAGAGACATGTCGTATGCATAGGGTCTGTGCGATATCGATATCAGGGAAGTGAATATCAAGAGGGTGAAAATAAACTATCGGAAGACAAGTGTTTTTGGCAAGTATTGCTTGTTACTCTAATAGTGCAGCCAGTTAAGGAAACCTGCCTCGCTACTGCAGGAGGGTGCACAGTAAGTGTCATTTTGTTATACCTGATAACTACATACAAGTGCAATTTGTCAAACGAAAACAGGACTAAAAGCAAGGCAGTGCTAGTAAAACAATAATAGAAATAAAAGGAGAGGAAAAATCTGCTTGTTACTGAGACTCCTTTCCTTTGCCCTTTGTATCCCCCGTGATTCCCGTCTCCACAATCTTATTATTGAGGCCCTCCACCCACTTTCCCAACTTTCCCAACAAAGTCTCCTCCCCATTCCTGTCCCCTCTCCTCTCATTCTCATTCTCGTTCTCGTTCTCTACCCCATAATACCTGGGCTTCTCCATAGCCCCAGAGTTCTGCCTGTACCCACTCGGATGGACCTCCGCACTTCTTCTCCTAGCCGCCGTATAACTCGGCTCTTGCACGGGCCGCGACGGCAACGCATTGTGGTACTCTGTGGGCACGGCCACATTCATTGTCGCAGGCCTTCCGATGTGGTCGTCGACCGGCAGATGCGTAGTCGGCCGCACCTCCTGCTCCCCTTGCATACGCGCCCCGGGGGGTAACGGCAGCGTCGATCGTGTTGGTGCCATGTTCTCGCGCAACCGCATCTGCGGCGGGTACGGCTCGGCAGGGCCGCAGTTGGGTGTTGGTGGCAGCGTGTCGTTGGGATTGACACTGCTGCAGCGACTGCTGTGGCCTGTGCCGGGTGCGGCGGTCTCTTTTGGGAGGAAAGGGGTGGCGCCGGGTTGGGGCATGGCGGGCGTGGGGGAGTGGCGCCCATTTTCACCGTGGAAGAGGGCACCATGAATTCCTGGGGCTGGTATGGGGGTAGGCTGAAGGGGGGGCTCTGGGGCGAGGGGAGTGGTTCTCGTGGGTGCTTCAGCAGTGGAGGTCGAGCTAGTTGCTGTTGAGGGGGTCACACCGGTGGGGTGTGAGGCGGTCTGTGGCTTGTCTGTGGTAAGTGCTGTCATCGTATCTTTTGTTTTATCTGGTCTGTATAGCTCAGTAGAGGTTTATGTAATTGTAGTTATTGGTGGTTTGAGATTCTTTCAGAGCTCAGGTGTTGTAAGGTGATATCTTTGAGTATATGTACCTTCGAGATTAGGTGGGTGACGTAAGCAGCTTCAGTGACGTCACTCGCTAGATTTTTCGACTAGCTACTGCCTGATGTAGAAGTGTGGGGTGCGCGTGTTCCGAAAGCGGTTCTTGTTACTGCTTCATGGGATATCACCCGGCGTGGAAGAATGTTGGTTTTCTCCAGCTAGTCGTGGGTACTTCAGTATTATGGGCCCAGAAATGAGGGGTTCCTCTTCAAACTCAGGCGCCCAACCCCCCCCAGAAATAAGCACGAAGTAGATGTGCATTGAACATTCTGGGCCGTCTAGTGGCATCGCGATATCGCATGCGAATGAATTCGGATTTCAATCTGGGCTGGTATTTTTTTAGCTGATTAGTAAATCTATGCATGCAGCTGGTTAGAAAGGGCATACATACATCTTGCATTCTATGTTCGATTGATGGAACCAATACTGTTTGATGACCATGGTATAGCATGGGCACGCGCACCAAGAGATAATGGGGCTAAAGCTACATGCACTCGGAAGATTGTCATAGAAGCCAACGAGAACATTCATTGATGTTTTGATCGAAGGGATTCAAAATTACCATGTTAGGATGTGGGTGGGTCAGAGACTTGCGAGAGTTAACTGGACTTGTATGGGCGACGGTAATTGAAGCTTGGAAGAGAGGAGAAGGAGAAGAGGAGTAGCCCCTCTATTTCCTCTCCGACGACACATGTCCACTGATATGATGATAACTATAATATGGACTATTAGGGATTACGTAGTCTTGATAACCTAATCATACGTCTACCTAGCTCCTGGTAGGTATGCGTGCTGCCCTTGCCCCACTAGCTCAGCATCACGCCCTTCTATCCTCTCTAATACTACAGCTCAATTAGCATACAATATTGATCATCGATCGAGCTTTCTCATTACAGATCGATTTCATCCCCACATTATATAGCTCCCTGGACTGTTCGGGAAGCCCCACCCGTGGTGTCTGGTGAGGTGGGCGGGGCGTCTCGGGGCTGGAACCCCCCATTTGGAACATTCCATATATTGGTGAGCCTTCTCATACAATGGGCAAGACTGGTGGAGCCATGTTTGTAGGAAACCGAATGATTGTGAGTCATTGAAGAGTTGCTAAACGAGAGCTCAATATCATATACTGACAACCTACTGTTTTCTCCACGTGTCGAGAAATTGCTCGTAGTGCTTGAGAAAGCGATTCTTCATCGATCACAATCTAAGAAACACGTTATTCCAGACTCTCTCATTTTACCGCTGCTTCTGGCTTAGTCCTTCCTCGGAAGAATCAAACCGCTTCAATAATACTACATATTTTACGATGTCTCACTGTCTCATAAACCGGTTTTCATATCTAGGTCGAAATCGAAATAGTCTGCTCCAACATTCGATTTAATTCGACTTGGACCCCTAAATCCAATAAAATCATCAATTGCCGGCCTCAAGTCAAAATCCTGATTTGATTTGACTTATTCATCGCAGGAAATCGATTCAAATTCAAATCATGCGCTGAAAGGGTATTCAGGAGACTCTTTTACTGGATTGGGGTCCACACATTATTTTCTGAGATTAGCTTCTTCCATGAAATGTATCTCAAACCTATACATTATTTAGTGTATAATTTGAAAATCAATTTCACTGGTCTAAATCGTAGCCATGATTTGATAGTGAGAGTTGAATCAGATCCAAATCAAATCAGCAAATCGATTTCTCGAACCATGATTTATAAATCATGGTACAAACCAGATCGAAAGTCTCACCAGAGTCTTGAGACTTTGATTTCAATCTCACCCGCTCACTAATGATGTGGATAAGAACCATTCAATGATATGTCCAAGCTATGCTAAATTCTTTATATCTCTAGTTTCTATGTGAATAAGAAAAAATGTTTCGTTTCAAGGAGATACAATATCTTAACCCGGACCAATGCCGTTGGAGCCAAGAAAAATATCTCTGCCGTTAATAACCTATATAATTTAGGACCCGTTCGGCAACAGTCCAAAACGGCATTTACAGTGGTGAGAACACCGCTCCAACGATCTTTTTGTTAGGCATTGACCCTTGAAAACTCCGTTTTGTCTTGTTGCCGAACGGGCTCTAAGTGGTATTTACTTGCCGGATTTTATATTCTGTCCGACACGAATCCCGAAAGTAGGCAAACATATCGTGAAAACATGCAGGTAAGATACCAAGGTGAAGTCCGCTGCAATCGAAGCAGCTTTATTGGAGTGTTTTGGCCTCAAATTTCGAGCTCAAATTTCTAGTTCTTGGCTGTCGGTAGGGTTACCTGTACTGCGCTGAACGCTGTCGCTGTTCAATCATTCATTAAGTTAGATATCGTACGCTAGTCGATGGGGAATTTGCTTATTGAGAGAGAGAACATTTCTGGCGTACAGCGCACTACAGGTGGAAATCGGGTGTGGCCAAAACACTCTATTAGGAATCAGAATAAAAAATTCAGCAAGTAGCTGCCGCCTGTAAAGCGGTATGGTTCACCACCGTAGAGAAAATCACCTGTAGGTACACCATCGGCCAACGAAGAAGAATATATACATGGACATCTGATCAACAATAAAAGAGGGAGGGCTCCAATGGAGCAAAAGAGTTCGTTACCCAGGATTCCCACATGGTCACCCACTGCAGTACTGACTAGGCGATATGTTGTTTATGTATGGCAGAGCGGACGGGATGCCCAGTTTTCAACATTCTATGAACGAACACATTGAAAACTGTTGGTTTTTAGTTTTTCTTCAGGATTCGAGAAAGATGGCGAGTGATTTTTCATGACGAATTTTCTTTTTTTTTAGTTTGGGGCTGTTGTTTGCGATACAAGGCATAGATCTTATAGATACATAGTAGCTCTTGATTAACTTGACGAGGAAGCACCTCGCTTTTATTAGAGAGTTTTAGCTACACAATTTGACAAGATCTCGAGCATTTGGACAGAAATTCCTGCACTTCCCATTGGTTGCAACGTGCATGAGTTTCTGTCCAAACCGCACAGCTAAAATCCTCTATTGCTTTAAGGTGCTTCGTATGACCTTTGAGCAGATGCAGGGGTAAATTTATCCCAGTCAACGGCGACATGGAGAGTAATACTAGGACATCGGGTATTTGGGAGGTTGTGGCCATGGCCTTGGCTTAAGACTTTGGTTGAGTAATATATCGGCAGGGTAACCAGCGATCTTCAGGAGTGCCGTATTAGATAATGTGGCCATGGTGGCTGATCATTAGCTAGCGCCGTCGTCAGCCACCCTTAGCCCGTCGTCACCATCCATCCAACTTCAATCGCTCGCAACATTCCAACTTCTTCCGACCTCCGAACCTCATCTCCCCACAACCACTCCGCAGAGATAGCTTCTATATATCACTCTCACTCAGTATCGTAACATAACCAGTCACTATTTACTCAACGGACCCTTCCCACAGCAGAACCAATAGCAATCAATAACACCGTAACTAAGCAACATGGCGTCACGCGAAGAAGCAGGTGCACCAAAGCTCAGCAGCAGCGTGAAGCTGGTGCTTCTGGGAGAGGCCGCTGTTGGAAAGGTTGGTCCTCCAGTCCATACATAAGCCCACCTTCCCAACTGCCCGCATCTGTTATGCTTGCAGATGCTGCTCGGATGAGCTCGGGTCAGATAAGGGGCTGAGAGATAAGCTGTCGCATGGTGGATGGGCCGGGGGGCGGTGTTCTAAGTCACAAGAAAAAGCTGACAGTTAGTGTGGTTGTTGTAGTCTTCTCTCGTCCTTCGTTTCGTGAATGATGATTTCCAGGAGAACAAAGAACCCACCATCGGAGGTATGCATGCACACGCCCCTTCTCCCTTCTTTTCCACCCCAGCACTTCCCGTGAGCTAGTGTGTCCTGGTTAGTACTGACTTTGGGAACGTTGCAGCCGCATTCTTGACCCAGAAATGTAACCTTCCAACAAGAACTATCAAATTCGAGATTTGGTAAACCACCACATGTGCTACCGGTGTAAATGTTTGTGGATGTTAACACGTACTCAGGGACACTGCTGGCCAAGAACGTTTCGCCTCATTGGCGCCAATGTACTACCGCAACGCCCAAACCGCGCTTGTTGTCTACGATATCACCAAGCCCACCTCCCTCACAAAAGCTAAGCACTGGGTAGCTGAGCTTCAGCGCCAAGCTTCGCCTGGCATTGTCATCGCCTTGGTTGGGAACAAGCTCGATCTTGCCTCAAACAACGCCATCTCTGCAAATGCGGATGATGTCGATGATGCGGAGAATGAAGATCGCAGAGCTATCCCTACCTCTGAGGCAAAGGCGTATGCAGAGGAGGAGAGCTTGCTCTTTTACGAGACCAGTGCGAAGACTGGAGAGAATGTGCAGGCCGTCTTTGAGGCGATCGCGAATGCCATTCCTGAAAGCACATTGAAGCCGAGGGGCGGTGCTGGAACCGGGATGGGCGGCGGTGCCAGATCTGGTGCCAATGAGGGGCATAGTCATGCGGTCAACATGGCAGACGCAACCAGAGCGGCCAAGGAGGGATGCGCGTGCTAGTTGTATCTCTCTCTCTTTTCCTTTACTTTTTTTCTTATTGGTATTTTTCTTTACTGTTTTATGGGAAGATGAAATGTGAGACGAGACGAGAAACAAAGTGTTTGTATGATCCAGTAGTTAACAAGAAGCACAAACACTCTTCCAACCTTTTTTTTTGTGTCCCCTCTCTATCATTTTTTCTAACTCTTGGTAAGGGAAACTATCGAATACTCTAACGAAGGTCCGGAAAGTGATAATACATGTATTTTCCTCCACCTCTCCCCAAACTTTTACTTTTTAGGGTATGGGGGTGCTGCTTTCCTCTCTAACCTTTTTATTCTTTTACTTTTTTTCCCTCTGCTTGGTTCGGCTTGTCTTCATTATTTTGGGTCGTAGTGGGGGAGGGTGGTGGCTGTTGTAATAACTTCATGGCTCAGGTGATCGGTTGTAAAACTGAGTGTCTTTATGGGTACTACGGAAACGGGAAATAAACATGAATCTTTTTTATATACAACAATAGTAAGAGCCTAGGTTTGGGAATGTGAATTGTAGGTTTGTGATTGTGATTGATGTGGATGCGTCGTTCTCCATTGGTTGGCGGATATATATATCCTGCTTGGTTAATTGAATTGCCTATATGTGGATTGGATTACTATATTACTCTGCATATTGCGTTTCAACATCGCAGCAAAACCTACGTAACCTAGCTTCATAGCGTATTCAATCGGGGGGATTTATCCTAGGCATCGATAGAAGAGTAGGTTTTACCAGTCCTCAGATTACCTCTTGTTATACCCTTCTCCAGAAACCTAAGAACAGGTGCAAAGAAGAGGTTTTATCTCCGTATATAACTCCTCGGTAGCGATGGTAGTGATGACGCACCATCAGCCACAGATCGACCGAACAACGTGAAATTAAGGTTTGGGTTTAGTCGCGCCCCGATTTGCACACGTCGGGTCTGGGCGTGGGACTAGATATGCACCAAGACAACGACACGGAACTGCACCCCCACTTTACTTCACTTTCTCTACGGTTCCTGGATTCACCAAGTTATCATCCCTCCCCCCGCGAGAGATGGGTATCTGGGACTATGAAAGGAGCAAGTGGCTCTGTGGGGAGCTCTGATGGGGGAGGTTATGTGTAAGTGCACCAACGTTAATTGCTCTAGTTCGTGCTTGATGACAGGCTGACTTACTGGTGCTTTGAGGGGATAGCTTCGTCCTCTGTGCGTAATTATAAGTGGGAGCACACCTCTGTTCTGGCATGGTAGTCGGCTGCGAATGTAGTTTTACGGAGTATCAGCCTAGAGTACGCAACAGAGGTTACTCATTGAAAATTGCTTGGGTATGGAGGTTAGTTTTATCGAAAGAGTTCTTTGAAATATTTGACTGTACTGGCTGATAGGGATGAAATTAGTTCCTGGCTACTCACTCCAGAACGTTTTTAGTTCTAGGCCTTGACACAGAAAGTCAAGTTACAAGTGGAAGTTTATCCCCCAGATATGATTCGTGCCAAGCACATCATCATTGGGGGAAGGTTAAAGCACCTGCCAAGACCAGGCAGGTTCACCCAAAATCACTCGTGCACTAGTCGGGTTGTCTAAGGCGAGTCACACATGTCTCATGGCGGACTACAACTACATCTGAAAAGTAGATATATTTTTTAGAAAGTAAGGTAAATATGCCTCCCAGGAAGAATAAAAAACAAATGAAAAAGCGCCTGCTAAACCAAGGTTTACTCCAGAACCAGAAGAAATGAATGTAGAGAAACACCCTCAACAAGAAGAAACTCCGAAAGCCCTACCGGAGAGCCCAAGACATGAAAAAAAGACTATTTACAAGATAAGTCATAAAAGAGGAAGAAACACTCTTACTGAAAGCTTGTGATCTAGCGGCGAGCGCGTCTAGCACGTCTGTAGCCACCACCGTAACCGCCACCGTAACCACCACCGTAGCTACCAGATCCGCCAGCAGCAGTAGTCGAAGCAGTACCTTCGCTATCCAGCTCCTCGCTGTCACCAAGAACACCCTCTGTACCGGCTGAAGAAGAAGGCTGGGGTGCGGAGGTCATAGTGACCAAGGTAGTTGGGGAACCGCCTTTGCCATACCCACCCGAGCCGCCCGACTTTCCGCCAGTGGGAGCTTGAGTCATCTGTCCGTTTCCTTGGCCGTCACTGCATGGCGCACCAGTTGCTTCAACTGTATCTGCGGTAGTGGTTGGCTGCTGGTTGTAGTCTGTGGGGGTTTCTATGGGAGTGTTGAAGCCATTGTCGCCAGAGCTAGAGCCTACATCCACGGCAACAGATGTGGTGGGCTGTACGCTCGGGGAGCTGGTAGTCGCGCCATAATCGGGAGATCCATAACCCTTGGTAGAAGTTCCGACGATAGCAGTAGAAGTGGGCAGCACAGCGATAGTAGAAGTTCCGACGATAGCAGTAGAAGTGGGCAGCACAGCGATAGTAGAAGTTCCGACGATAGCAGTAGAAGTGGGCAGCACAGCGATAGTAGAAGTCTTTCCAGAACCGGCGCTAGAGGTGGCTGTCGGCTGAACAGCTACAGAAGAACTGGCACCTGGAGACCCTCCTGCACTTCCGGGAGCGTGGCAGTTTCCTGCTGACGGTTCCTTGAATGGAATTCCGGCAACTGTGACCTCTGCTACTTCGGTTCCAGGGTTGGGGTACAACAGAGCATTTCCTGCTGTGCTGCGGCATTCTCCTGTGGCAATCTGTCCGGGAATATTCATATCGCCGACAAACATGGCTGGGTAGTCGGCAAGTGTGCTAGTTCCGGAACCAGTAATTTCAACAGATGCGCAGTTCATATAAAACTCGTCACGGTTACCGGTTACAGCTGTCCATGTCCTACATTTCAAACAATTAGCACCATATAAATAATAGAAAAGGTGGTTTATCAAATAAACTTACCAGGCGAAAAGAGCGGCTCCGGCCTTGGCTTCGGCAGGGATAGGGAACGGGAAGACCTGATCGGGTCCAGCCAAGTTTGAATTGAGAGCGACATCTCTTGGGCACCCTCCGTGGAATGACTTCAACACGCTCCATGTGGTACCGTTGTCGTAGGATAACGATGCTTGGCAACTGCCTCCGCTGTGTGCTGCCAGAGCACCCTCGCCGGAAGTAACATGACCCAGAATTCTGTTCAAATTGCAGATTAATATATATTCATTGGATCTCCAATTGAAACAAAGATAATACATACTCAAAAGAAGCACTTGACCCAGCAGCCCATGACTCAGTGGGTGTCATATCAACACCCGCTTTCTTGTGGAGCTGTTTACAAGGGAAATCGCTACCATCTGGGTTGAGAGGTGCGTTGTAGGCGTTACCGGTGGGGTCCTCAACAGGAGCGTCGAGGGGCTTGGGCGACTTGATACGGGCATGGCCAGATACCAGACTTGCTGAGATCGAAAGGAGTAAAATTGCCAAGAAACGCATTTTTTTCAAAAAGTGGGTTTAGTTGATTATTACAAAAAAAGGCTACACTAGGTAGATTGAGAAGGGAAAAAATAGGATGGAAGAAAGTATTTAAAGTGAAAGTGAAAGTGGGTTGTTGAGGGTGGTCGATTGACTTGCAATTGACTTTGGTTCTGATGGATTCTAAGTGACGGGAATGCAAGCTACTTAAAAGCAGAAGGAACTGGATTATGAATATTTGTGGCTTGAAGGGAAAATACGAATCTGGAAACTATTCTGGAATGTGGTAGGGAGGCGCGCGCCTGGCCGTTCACGGAAAGAGAAAATGCCACATTCAGACAAGGATCCTGCCTCTCCTAGGTGGCTATTTTTTCCAAGCTAGCCAATAGCTTCGTTTGATCAGCCAATAATCTAACTACATGGACCAATAGATCCCTACAGTTCGGCACCTTTCTCTGTTCAGCTTCAGCACTACTCATTTGGGGCGGGTGACGTTAATTACAGCCGCTCGCGAACGATAGGCGACAACTTACCAGTGCATGCGAGATTTTGTAACACTACTCTTACTGCGGCTCAAGAACAAGCTTTCGTTTCAGGCCTCAGGTCCAATGAAGAGCCATACAAAGGCTCTCATCAACAAGTGGCGAAGCCGACAACTCGTGTCATTGGACAGAAAAGTGGAAATTAAAGTATTGTCAGATGCAAAGTTTTTTCGCCCTCGGTTTCAAGAACATGTTAGCTAACTATGATGGTACACAGAGAAACCCCTGAGAGGTACCAGCACTGAAGGAAGCGTATGTACTGTACGTCTAAGGCAACAAGGTATTTTTGTGTGCCTACTGTCAATGTTCGGTTAGGCTTTTGGCCACCTAACAATAGGACGAGGGTGGAAGAAGATCTGAGGCCCCTCTTGATCATGCAAGGGGTAAATGTTCCCGACAGGGGCAGGGAACGACATACATAAATGCAAACGGCGCAATCAATTGCACTTCACGTGGTGACAACTGAGACCTGCAGAAGAAGTCGTTGATGTACGCACGGAACGGTACCTGCTTAACCGTTGGCTTGGGGGGATTCCCGAAACATGGTCATCATATGAACTTGCCCAACCTCTTATATGATTTGATGTGTATGCCTTTATATTTTGTTTTTGCCTTACTGTCACTGCATTCTGCATCCCTACCAATCCAGCCAGCCACTTAAACAATTGGCGAGAATAGGAAAGTTACAACACTGCAAAACATTTGGTGTATGAGAGAGTGAAAGAGGGGTTGGGAAAAGAAAAGAAAATCCTGAAAACAGTAAGGAAATACATATCTTCATTCATATGCAACATCCAGCATAAATGATTCATTAATTACAACTTTTTATAGGTAAAAACTCACTATCTTCAACTTTACTCATGACGTGGCTACGAGGACACTGACAGACCCACTGACTGCACTGCACTCCGATGTTCCTCCGTACTCTCCAGAACCTTTTACGCCCTTTACAAAACGGCCAGCAGGCCATTTTCTGTCCTCCACAATGACTACATCTTCACCCGTGATGCGGACTGAGCCGGACATGCTATTTCCGGTAACGACACCCTCCCAATCCCCCGGATATTCAACTCTAACCGGCCCGCTTATAGATGTGTGCTTTGCGGTGAGACTTTTATTTCCGTTTCCTAGACGGTTTGTAAATGATATGTTGGTGGAGCCTTGTCTGGTGTCTGTGATAAGGGTCGAATGGCCTTCACCGGTGGCGGTTATGGAAGCTGTGATACTTCCGCTCACTGTACCATGATAGAGGGATTCTCCAAGTACGTAATCACCGCTGATGGAACCGCTGACGGTATCAACTTTTGACCGGTAGCTTCTTCCCTGCGGAAGGATAGCTGTATCTCTAGGGAAAATCGTTTTTATGTGCCCTGACATAGTCACTGCAACGTACTCAGCGATATGGGAGTTTGAGTCTTGAGGAATGACGTTTGCGGTTATGCTCCCTCTGCAGATCACCGCTTAGTACAGTTCTCAATTGAACTCTTTCGTGGAAGGGGGGTGCTTACGATTTTGTTTCCAGATGGACCAAATCATGGAGCCCGAAATCACCATCGATATTACCAGAGTCAATGATAATCACGGTCTTATTTGACTCTACACCGAAGGCTGATCTTGTGATAACACTACCCGCTATAGTTTCGAGTGATAAGTTGTTAACTACAAGGTCTAATGATGGTTGCAAAATCACGTTTAATCCTTCAGTGCGCAGGGAAAACCTCGGGAATCCGGGTTTTTGAAGTGGGACTGAAATTGTCGCCCGTACTTCAATACAGCCGCGAAGGCCTCTGAAAGGAGTTCTATTCGTCTGTAACCTGTAAATATTGATATTAAAAGGGCGTGTCGAGGTTTTGGGCCTACCTTGAAGACAATTCCTTCTTCATTCATATCAATACTGTACTTGTCCCCCAACTCCCTCTCCGTCATCTTGACCTCAAAATCGACAGTAACATTCTTTAGGTCCTCGACGCCCTGCACGAACACATCGCCAAGCACCTGAATATGTCCGCCGTGATCCCAAGCTTGGGGATCCGCTGTCGATATCTCCGAAAATGCAAACGAACTCGGGCCAGAGAATATATATTTTTTCTTGGCGAAGAAATCAGGCCCCGGCCCAGGAGGGCACGCGTTAAAATCCGGCCACTAAACAGAACCGACAGTGTCAGTATAGTAGCTAACCATCCAGATAACATGAGCCCAAACCTTTCGCCCAGGTTCATCTGGCGGCGGCCCTGGAGGAGGTCTGCCTGGTGGCCCTCCACCATGACCGTGCCCTGGAGGAGGTCTGCCCGGTGGCCCTCCACCATGACCGTGCCGTTTTACGGTAAACATTTCTGCGAGTAGAAACGATGCAAGAAACACAAATGCTATCCGGATGAAGATCCACCTGCAAATTTCGCTCGTGGAGTTTTCCTTTTTGATCCTTTCAAAGGTTCCCCACGGGTCTCGGAGGATATCTGGGCGCCTCCACCCTTTATCTTCTGGCACAGCCTGCGCGCTTTCTCCGGCCCCGCAGTTGCAATTCTCGGTACACACGTGCTGCTGCGCATGATCGGCACTGTAATACGGAGGAGCTGCATCCTCCTCTTCTATTGCATCATTGAACGAGCGATCTCCACCACCCATTATCCTCCCCGTAGGTGTGCTACCGTAAGTTGACGTTGAGTAGTTATATGGAGGCGAAGGAAGCGACGGACTACTCCGTTTTGAATTGTCCGTAGGGGGCCTGAAAAGCGGTGTCCTCTCGCCAATGGGCTCCATCTCTGAATCTGAAATCTCGGGATCTAGGTCGGAGTCGGAATCATCGGAAATATATACAATCCGCTGAGGATGGTTTCGTGGACTGAAGTAGCCATCCGCGTCCGTCATCCTTCTTTTTTTTCACTTTGAGACTTCAAATCTTTTATCTAGCTATTTGCGCGGCCTATTAACGATGACTGGTAATGAGTGAGTTGGTGGTGGGTTGAATGAGCGTTTGGTTGGTTGGGGTTAATGGTTTGGTTGATTACCTTCTTGCGAACACGCAAGCAAGCTGCAGAAACAAAAAAAAAAGACGAAAGGAGAGGCAACAGCAGCACTGGCAGAGAAAAGGAATGTTATGGGGAGAAACTGAACCGGTGACGCGCGTTCTGCTTTCCCCCGATCCCTGCCTGTCTCTCGGTCTCCTTTCGAGAAGAAGAGCCCCCCCTTGCACGATTGAAACGAAAAAGCCCCCCTCCCTTCCCCTCGCCACCCGCAACGGGCAATTCGTTTCGGGTTTCGGAGAAGATGGGTCATGGGATATCACTCATAGTGCTGGCTGTAATCGAGATTTAGTTGTTTAGAACTAAGGATAAATCGAGATCATGTGCGTATGTGTGCGCCCGTAAACTGATGACGACGGGCCTACAATTGACTCGGAGAAACGCGTAAACTGGAAGTTGAGAGAGGGGGTGGTGATAGTGGATAGTGATGAGTAAATTGTAAATATATGTTGTAGATCGAGTATCTAGAGAGAGAGGTTGAATAGTAGACCTTCCTGTTTTGGAGCCTGCTTGAGAGATAAGCATTTATGCTTATATGGGTTTAGCTAACCTTCTGTCGCTTGGTTGGTTGGCCGATTAATAGACATAAGTAGGCGGGGTATGGTATATTATATGTGCAGAGCCAGGCGGTTAGCCGCTCAAATGCAAAACTTGTGCCGGCCGACAGGTACCGGGAGGTGGGTGATCAGCGGTGACACTATTAATACGAGAGGGAGGTCGTAGGATTGCGACTATATCGACATCATATCTGGGTGTCGGTAGTGCAGTTCTGAGGTCTCTGTTGCTCTAGAGCTAGGCGTAGGCTTGGCCGCCAGAATTATCAAGAGCGTCCTCTAGTAAGATCTGCGTCGAAAAAAGCAACTTTTCTAAGCAGCCAGATGGTAGCGATATATCGACTCAAAATAAACCCGGAGTATCATTCAGAGGATAAAACAGCCCACTAGCTAAATGGCCCAGCTGAGATCGACCGGCCCACTATGTATCTCGGTCTGCTAGGTTCGGGAGACTTATATTCCAGCACGGTCGGTTGGTCGCTCTCCCAGTATACATGATGGGAAACGAAACCGTAGTCGGAGTGGTCCCATTCGATCTGGTCCATCATTGAAGGCAGATTTCGGACCAGAAAAGTCAATAGTGGGGACTTTCTAAAGCAGTGTTTTGTTCTTTTACCGACCTGGTTCATTCCTTCTTGACATATGTCGGATAGAAGAGCGGAGAGGATGTCGATATATATGGCGTAAGAAATATATCCATAATTAATCGTAGAGATTATGATACTTAACGGCCCTTCGTATTTTTTAGGCTCTGTATTAGATAGGTTCGGTATAATTTGGCCAAGTCTAGTATTTCCATTCGATTCAGCGGGATGTTTTGGCCTCTGATATTAGTAGAGTGAAATTCCCTAGTCAGTACCAGGTGAGGTGAAGAGAGGTGTATTTCCTTTTCACCACATCCTCCCGCCTAGAGCTCCGGGGTTGTGATTTTTGGGCGGACCACTGTCATCTGGCCAAATATACCGCAATACACCTCGATATCGAGCTACTAAAGCATCATAATTTTGAGGACCCTCACGCCGTTTGTATATGGATTTTCGGGGTACATACGCAATTTCCCAAAGGATCTTCTTTGAGGGGTGAGATAAGCCAACTAGGTGATCCAAGTGAGATCTGGGTTCAACAGCTAGACATAGACCTACAAGCCTGCCCGGTTTCCTTCCCTCTTTATAGTTGTTATTAATACCACTTTCGACTACTATTTTGTCTTGAGGGATCACATCTAACAATATTTCGCATATAAAACACCTCTTCTCAAACTCAACACCCGAACTGACATCGGAACCAACCAAAAACGAAGTTGATGATTCGATTCGAGTATAAAAGAAATTAGGGTTAGGGTAAACTCCCTAGTGGCACAGATTATAGGTGTATCGTAGCCGCCAAGGAAAACTCCCATGATGGGGCCTCTTGATGGGCTGGACAGGACAGGATTCATCACTGGCTCAGCCTTGGCCTACGACGAATGTGCTGGCCTGGCCCGACTGGCCCAGATAACGTCTTCATGATTTATCGGTCCATGCCAAGCAGTTATATGGGACATAGGAGTCTCTGGCACCGAAGTCGGTAGATGGGTTCTCTTTGGTTCATATGATGGTCATTGATACAGAACACCTGCAAGGCTAAGTCAAGCGCGTCTAATCTTTGTTGATTGTGATCATGAGCTTCGCTGAGTCTGGCCTGGCTTAACTTCGAGAATAATAAGCCCAGGCCGAGGTCCGTAAACATTTTTATTCAGCCCTGGGGGGGGGGAATACCCTGCCCCCGAAACCACCCGAGGGCGAAGAAATCGTTTATTAGATTTTCTATTTCTACTGCAAAAGCTTTGAAGAATTATCTCAAAACTTGACGATACGCCTTCCACAAACGATATTTCCGAGTGATAGTATATGACGCCAATTATTCCTAAATAGTTGTGCACAATATTTTTTCGCTAATCAAAGGCCCACTAATCACCGTCTTTTCGACACAAAGTATCATTACGAAGCTATAGTAAAATTCTCGAGACTTTCAAAACTAGACTGAAACGAGACAAGACGAGACGAGAGGTTGGTGTAAATGACTGTAGCGAGGGGATGCTCTTGAAGCAGCTGAAGAGCATGTAGGTGTCCTTAATTCCAGACAATACGATGGTAGATGTCGGAATAACGTACGAAACTACAGATAGTAATAACAACTACCTTAGGGTTATTACAGATTGATAGGAAGGGAAGATTACATCAAGGAGGCCAAGCTCGCCGTAAAACGAGTCATTCTACTACAGAACAAAGTACGTAGTACTGTCTATTGTGCCAATGAAGCAGCGTTACCAGCGCAATTGAGGTGCCTTCTTTTCACTACTCTTGGTCCGATGAAGCAAAAAAAAAAGCGGATATTTCTGCTAAAACTGTCCTGGTTTCCCAAATAATGTGACGTAATATGTGTTTTATTTGGCCGGAATATGGCTTGACGAGTCAGAACCCCAGAGGCTATCGACATGTTACAAAGAACCAGACGAGAAAGAGGATGCTCAACCAGTGACTTCTTCCAGTTTCGTACTAAAACCACACGATATCACGCTTACTAGGGGGAACTTCATATAAGTTCCGGCGAGTCTGTCAAACCGCCGTGTTCAGTCATAGAATGTTGAAAATTGGGCATCCCGTCTGCTCTGCCATACACAAGCAACATATCGTCCAGTTAGTACTGCAGTGGGTGACCATGTGGGAATCCTGGATACTGAACTCAATCCCCAAACTCTTATGAATTTTTTGGCCCAGGTTTGGGTAGCTGGGCGTTGGTTTTGATAGAGTTGAGGTTGGGAGGCTTGAGTACATGCAGAGTGGTTGGGTTTGGCAACCGGCTCTTAAAGCAGCTCACACCAAGAGAGAGTTTTTAGCAACTCGAGAATGACAGAAAATATATGCTTAACCTAACCCTTAGTCAAAAATTAGGTTTATAATAGCCTTCGCGGGACATCAATCCTGAAAACGCAATTATCGGGGCATTATATGGTGAATAAGCCTTATTTTAATATTACGATTTGCTTAAAGATTCGTCAAGGGCCTACGCTATATTTTTACTTATTTAGACCGTAACTTAGCCATAATGCCAAAGTCAGATAGAGGCTCGCAGAGTTATTTCCGGGTCAATGGAGAGATTTGTGCATGGCGAATATAGAGTTTTAGTCGACTGGAACGTAGAGGTTCGCCCTGGTCAAGGCAAATGGGCTGGTGTGCTTTTTGTTGATCATTCGCAATTGACCGGGTTCGCCATTTACCCGAAGATAACGAAAGCTCAGAAATCCAAGGACGTAGGAGACCAAAATCCATCCTTAAAATACGATATTTCTCCATATCATTCGTTCCAGCATTTCTCACTCCATTGATGGTAATTTCAGTTTGCTAACCAAAAATAAATTTCCACTATCCACTCATTTCCCCGTGTTCAGTCATAGAATGTTGAAAATTGGGCATCCCGTCTGCTCTGCCATACACAAGCAACATATCGCCAAGTTAGTACTGCAGTGGGTGACCATGTGGGAATCCTTGGTACTGAACTCTATCGACTCAATTTTGTGAATTTTTCGTGAATTTTTTTGGCTGTGTTTCGGGTTATGGGTTGCTGGTTTTCGTTGCATAATGTTTCGTGGTGTTGACGATTTTGGTGTTGAAGATTGTTTGTTACGAAGCACGCTACTCTACGTAGCAACCGAGTACACGGCAAGTGAAATTTGAAATAGAGTTTGGGAGAATATTCTAGACATCATCGGGCAGGACACGGGACCTTGCAAGTCGTTATGGGTCAAGGAACCTTGTTATCTTCTAGATCATCGTTCTTTCACTTAAATTGACACATGTAATCCTTATCCTCTGCTCAGCCGGGATGTTGCAGTCGGGGTGAAGACATTAGTTATGAAAACGTCAATATTATACGCTCTAAGCACACACAGCTCAACCAACTACCGCGCGATACAAGATTCATAGTGAGCAGATGTATGAGCAGACAAGTAAACAAGAAGGGCTTTAATCGCTTCATGTCTGTTCCCTATATCACGCAATAGATTCGGAGTAGGACTGACGCCATCTATCCCGAAACTTTCCACTTTAATTGCACGATATAACGATCACAAGCAACATACTTTCGCTGTGCTCCTTAACCAGAGTATCGCCCATATCCGATCTCAGTTGGTATCCACGCGTCGCCGTCAAACGAAAGTAAATCTGTGACCACGGCCCCCAATGGGGGCCAACTCATCAAATCCGTTCACATAATACCTACACATCTACCCGAACCACCCCACTGGAACAGGAGGTACATCTCCGCCGTACGAACACATACCCGGGTCAAAGCGAATCGAATCTTGGTCGCGATCTTCGCCGCCCTCTCCCCACACCCCCTGGCCGTTTGCTAGCTATAGCACTATTGCTATCGGCTCTCTATCCGACTCCGTGGATGTGAGACTTCTATGTATGCCGTAGTTTAGTTAACGCCAAGATGATATTACGGCGTGGTATTTGTACCCGCAGTGCCGAGTCTATTGCCATCTAGTATTGTTGGTTGTTAGGCTGACTAAATGCCCTCGTTCATGGTCCATGGCATGGGTCGAGAATACTGGCTTAATTCTTGACATGTGGGAAAGGGGGGGTCACCAGTACTGTTGACTCTAATTCTATTAATTGTTCCACGGTGAAAGCCCCTTATTTTGGTGTCAGAATACTCGCAATATGACGTATGGCGGAAGGATAGCATCGTAATAAAACCTGAGGTTCCTGAGCATATCCCAGTACGTACTTGTACTCAGCAGCTAACCAAAATACGAACACGACGCCGAACATCAGGAACCCTCTAGATAGCGAAGCCCTTATCTATTGGCCCAGCTAGCTAGTGGATCGTAGGTACTCCTGGCATAAAGCGCCGATAAGTCTCCGAGGCCGGCCGGCATGGCAACTAGAACGATGGTTAATTTCTATTTTGTTACTGCGAGGCGGAATGGACATGACCGACCATGACAGAGGGCAGGTAATCTCACTTGACACAAGCACTGAATTCCGTTTTAATTGTCATCATTTCTCGATGGTTGTACAGGCTGTCAACGGTTGTCAAGCAGAACCTGGTTAGTTTGGTGTTGCATTTTGGGGGGGGGGGGGGGGGGGGGGGGTTGCATTGATGTTGCATTGGTGGTAAGGTAGAAACGACGTCGTCTCACCGTTCGTTCCGTACATGCTCGTACATACACAGACATCATGTAGGGGTGGGTACATGTAGGTACATAAGGCTGACTGGCCCAGCTACTAATCTTGGCGCGTCACAATGCTGTCCCTGTGACCTTGGCCAACGATCAGCCTTAATAATTTGAGCCGCATCTAAGCCGCATCTCCACGTGCACACAGCCTGGGAGCTGAGAGTTAGAGTGAGAGCTGCGCAACGGGCCCGACCGCCGAGCTATCGGGTTTGGGTCAAGCAGGTTTTGGGACTGAGGTAAGCTTTGGTCTAGTGGACGGGAATGGCTTTTTATGCGTTTTGTAGGTTGTATATTGAGACCAAATGCTTGACTAAAAAATGATGCACAGCTAGAAATCTGACAGAAGACTAAAAAGAAGAAACAGAACCATCAAGACACCCGTGACACCCATGAAACAATGACAACATGACCACATGTAGCACTGTATGCAGGCTTAAAGAAAAATAAGAAAAATCAAATGAGAAAACTCCATAGCTCCTTCCCGTCGACTTTTCACCATCCCTTTTCCCTGCTCCTGTTCTCTCCTCCCCTCTCCCCGATCCTCCCCGCCTTCTTCGACCTCTCCCCTTCGACCCTCCCCCCTCCCCTCCCCCCTATATCCTCTATAAAATAAAAGGAATTCCATCATGAATCGACGCTTGGACGAGACTCTATCGGTCACTATCGATCGTTCAAAACGGAGTTGCAGAGCCAAAGCTCAATGCATCCTGAACGCCGAGAGGCCACGAGTGGAGAGACGCTGCAATCGGTGGAGCGGAATAATTTGTTGCTGTGCTGTTGCAAAAAAACGGATTTATGAAAAAATCGGACGACTGTTCGACTACTGTATGAGTTGACCGGTTCGTCCGTGGGTTGAGTTGAGAGTGTATATAAAAACAAACATACAATTCAAGAAAACATTCCTGCCGGGGCGTCTGGAATGTCTGGAGTTCCGAGACGGGGAGGAGTAGGCCTTGGTGGTGGTCCGCTTGGAGGCATGTTTAAAGGTTTGTGGTAGAGTGCGGTAGTAGTAGTAGCGATGGTAGTAATATTTGCAGCTAGTAGCTTTTGGCTTTTGTTTGAGACTCGAGTGTTATTGTGATGTGGAGTAGTAGTAGTGGATGTGGAATAGTAAAAAAAAAAGGGTTGAGCACGAGGGTAGAGAGTCTTCTTTATAAAGAATTTTCAGGACCGCAGCAATATATATGTGAGGCGCGGGGGGGTGGTGGTAGTGGTGGTGGTGTATGTGAGGATCGTTCGTCTCACGTCTAAGCCAAGCCTTGGGGATCCTCGACTCAAATGGCCCCTTGATCCTCACTCAACAGCAACCAGCAACCGTTACTGCATACGCATCCTAATGCGCACTGGAAATGTCCCTTTTCGCACCTATCATCTGGAATAGTTTTTATTTTCTTTTACCTACCGACCCCAGGCTTAGCAGTTTAGTTTAAGCGAAATGCACCTTATTGAGGCGATACTTCTGCCTGAAGAGTTTCGGGATATAGGATCGGCGAACTAACTCATTATTCAGCAAGGATGTGACTCTTTCTTTTGCTTATTTTCCCTCTATGGGCACAGATATATTTAAAAACCGTGACTGCTTTAAGTTAAGGGTGGTGGTAATGATACCGGTTTGAACGGGTTGCACGGTGAGTCGGTAGCGGTCCAACAATGAGGCCGTACCCAATACTACCGGTCCGACTGTGACGTCCGTACTCATCGGAGCAGGGTCCGGTCATTTGGCTGCCTGTGGCTGGCCTGCTTTAACAGCGCCTCAACCAGTCATCAAGTATGGGCAATGAATGTATGTGGTGTAACTGTGTGATGCTTCAGCCCTGACCAGCGATCATTCTCGAGACATCGTACCTGCGTCTGATCAAGATTAAATCAGCGACTCGAGCATGAGTGAGTGAGAGTGGGTGTTCGTCAAGGCTCCCTGCGTATAAGATCTATTGGTCCCGCAATTAGAAGTGTTGAGGCTAGCGATCCTACTGGCCTTGTTTCCGTTCTTCCATTCTGCTGGCCGCAGCATTTTAAGGTCACGTAAATGCTGGTCTTTTTTGACTCATAGGCGTGTACGCAATATTAATGATGAGGTTAGCGAACACACATCACGCACCATATGAATCTTCACTTTCTACCACGTGTGACCCACATGTCACAGCGTTATTCTATGCATAAAGTGCCTGCATACAGCACCCTGGGAGCATAATATGACCCGTTTGCGTGGGGTCCAGAAGCCACGGTGTTGAGTGAAGGCGTGAGGCGGTGCAGCGTTTTGGAATCCCCCCTTGAGCCCCCACGAAAAAAGACCAAATGCGAAGTTTTATATAGATGCGCTGGTCCCATCGAAGTCGATAAATATCTAGAGGCACAACTGATAATCTGCCTGATATATGGCTGCTTTGGCTTTTCAGCGCCACATACATGAGGCGGCGACGGCTTGAGATCTATTTATTCACAGATCACAGAAAATCCCCGCCGACCGCGGCCCCAACTGGGCAAGTGCGGAAATAACGATTACATTAGCACAACCGAATAAATGTTTACTCAAACTCCGAAATAACCTTGACTCAAGCGTAGATATGGGTATGTAGGTACTGTACTTGCCTAAGGTATGACTACATAATAAGTAGATCTATACAGTAACTCGCTGGATTTGATGGCTCAAGACATCGATTCTATTAGAGTATTTTAGCTGCGCGAGTTGGACAGAAAGTCGGGCGAGGTTGGACAAAAAGTCTAGCAGTTTTGGGAACGTACTTGCATGGTGCATATGCGCCGAGCCAAACCGGTTCTTGTCAATATCTGTGAGTTGTCTCGAGTTCCATCAATCCAAGTGCTAACTATCGCGAGTTCCATCAATAGTGAGTGCGTTCCATCAATAGCTATCTCGTAGTGAGTTCTTCCCAGTGTGTTGTATGCGGGTCTCATCACTAACTATATAAGGTATTCGATAAAAATAAATAATGCCTTCTCACTTTGTGATGCACCCGGTAGAGCCTTCAGATTTCTACAGTTTTAGGGGAGGACAAATTCCGGGCCCTGTTCTTGCTCCTATAAGTGGAAATCACACTTTTGCGAGTCATGCCCTTGCATCATCTACAACTAGTTACTGTCCAACAGACCCGGATCAGCCTGAAAACTATGATCAAGGAAACCTCAGTACCCGCTCAAGCAGCTATCATGAGGTCCCTGTACCTTCCAGTCCATCAACTCAAAACCCAAATGGTGTTTTGGACCCGCAATTGGTTTTCTCCAATCTGCACCCTGTGAGCTATAGGAACAATTCAGTGGTACGCCCCGGACCTGCCGAGAATCGCGCCGAGAATGCCGAGAGTGCCGAGAGTGCCGAGACTCGCCCTCAATCCATGGAATCCGATACTTCTATTGAGTCGCTGAGGAAGTGTAAAGCGTTGGTTGCAGAAATACATCGCCTGCGCCCTTATGCTGCACCATATGGGAAATCTAAGAGTGCGTGGGGGGAGGTGCTACTCGCTTTGCAGTCAAAATATAATCTCTATACAGATATAAAGGATGCATTACCAGGTTTAAGACGAGACTTGAGAGCGCTGATTGCTTTTAAAGAGGACTTGACGGAAGAAGGTGTAAGTCAACTTTTGGGAGAGAATTTAGCTCGTAAAGGGCGGAGAGGAGGGAAATCTAATGCAGAACCCGCTCAAGCTGTTGATGAATCGCCTGACAACACTATCAATGAAATAGTACTAAATGAAGTCAGAAAGGGAGGCACTGGTAGCGGACGAAGGATCGGACAGACTGGGAGACCTAAAAAGTATGGGTTTACCCATGAGCAGGTACAATCTCATATTGATATTACGGTTTGAATTGATTTTTAACATGATTGCGGGTGTTCCCAAATAGTTAGCGGATGGGCTTGCATCACATTTGGAGCTTTTGACGGACGATATCAGGAAGGTTAATGAGGAAAGAACTGCACGTACAAAAGAGAAACAAACAGCAGAGGAGTTAGAAAGGCAGAGAGGGGAAGTGTTACGTGAGGTGACATTTGAAGGAAGAGTTTCATTAAGCGATCTCCAACCAGATGAAATGCCGACTACGGTTGATCCTCAAAGACAGCGTCCTCAACAATGAAATAAAAGGAGGAGATTGGACCTTGATATAGCTGATACTATTGGAAATGAGAGTCCAAATAGGAGATTGGGTTTACCGGCTATAGACTTTCCTTCTTTATGGAGCGAAATCACACAGCCACATGATGAAAAAGAAAGAGAGAGGCATACGGAAATTGTTACTTTACTTACGGAATTGCTAGAGCAATCAAGAAGGAATAACGGTTTAATGGAACAGTTATTGAATGTAGCGAGATTATAGATATGAAGTAGTCGTACTTTCTAGTTTTGTCTACGTACAGGGTATTGTAAATAGTCTTTTAGTTTAGGAGGTGTACAATGAAAGTAAGTAGACGTTTCAGACCCGTACAAACAAATATGAATATTAGTAAGTAAAACAGCGACCCTATATTGCGAGCCAATAGGGGAGGTAAAGATCCTCTGGTTTGACTTGAAATCAAGAAATGTCCAAAGGCGTAAGACGTCAGCAAACCCCCACTCCACCGCTTCTCTACAAGAACTCATACCCTTATTAAACCATTTCTGATTATCAGTTAAAGCTTCTGTTAAATGTGAAAACGGAGATACCAATACAGAACTCAAAGGGTATGCAGGATCCCCATATATGCAAAATCCTGATGCAAACTCACGGCATCGTTCAAGCAAACCACTATCACGTAACAAAGAATTATCGTTCCTCCTCCCCTCATATGGACCATAAAGGTGATAGATAATTCCATCAGGACACTTAACTGCAGAGTATTTAAGCGCGTGCATGTGCTTATACCCATTATAGCAGTCTCTTTGCCATTGGGAGGGTCTACAAATCTGCCGGATCGTGCAGTCGATAAACCCCCAGCAAGTAGTAAGAGGTGCGCCTCTCTGGTGTATCTTTTGGGCGAAATGAATTAACCGGGAGGTTGAGAGATGACCAGATGAAAAGTCATTCAGAAGGAAATCCCATTTATCGTGGATAAATTTTAATACCCAATTGATTATTTGTGAGATCGCAGTATAATGATAACCAAACATAAACTGCATGGTTTTCAATCTCGTTGGCCATGCCATCCGACAACAAAGAATGAACAGTGCTTCTTCACGGGTAAAAGGAACTCCAGTAGGAATAACTATCCTTGCCGGCAACTGAAGAAGATGAGATATCTGATTTTTAATGTGTTTAGTACTCTTATCTTGTGGGCCGTATCTGCACCCTACTAAATGAAATGAATAGCTGACTCGGATTTTCTTACATTTACAATATCTCTATAGCTAAACCGAGCTAAATTTCGGAATTCGCTATCGTGGATTGTTTTTAAGTCCACACGGCTTCTCTTCCAGTTCAATTGATACAAATCAATTGTGCCGACAAGGTATAGGAAGACAATCTCTCGACGTGCTCTTCTCAATCGCTCACGGGTTTCAGGAGTAATCCGATCTAGTACACCCGCAATATTTGTTGATTCCGACCTGTCAGGGACCGTGGAGCTAACACTTTGCATAATGGACAGATCCGTTGTGCTCGTTACAGAATTTGGACGTAGAAAACAATAGGAGCTGTTTACGCGTTTTCATGAAGTACCCGAGTACAATTCAGCGCGGGGTATCTGGGACAGCGATCGCTGCTGCAATGAAGTTGTGATTTTCCATTTTTGCTACTCGGCGCATATGTATCCTGCACCTACATTCCCAAAACTGCTAGACTTTTTGTCCAACCTCGCCCGACTTTCTGTCCAACTCGCGCAGCTAAAATACTCTATTCCAGACACAGGATAAAATCCAGTTTCCACACGTCACCTGCATGCGGCTCATGAAAAGATCGACCAATTTGTTACCAGATTTTGATGCTTCTTGGCGGCACAAGCCTTTATTCTACCTGCAGGATCTTGTCACTCTGCTTTTTTAGCAATTGGCCAGTCATATAACTCAATCGCATCAGTCACGGTGGCAGTGCCGAAACGTTAGTTGAAAATGACAAAGAAACAGAGTACATTCACGATCGAATCAATGAAGGAAGTTGAGCCAAAAGCCTCTTGGTGCTGGCGGGGGGTCCTAGGCAATATCAGTCAATTCTGTAGATCGCTCGCTAAAAGAAGCTTGAGGCTGAAATCCGGGTGTAGTTAATTCCGAGTTAAACGCTTGGATGCAATTTGAGTATAGGCTATGATTATGATTGCGGCCTTGTAGGATCTGCTGTTTTCAGAATTCTGTTATGGTGAGGTGGTCTTAATTGCGGGGCGAGGTAGTCGGGCTGTACCTATTTCAACTACTATCTTGTACCTCTAGGTGTTACCCTTGTTCACTCAGGATAACTGTGTGCGTATTTGATATCCTGCCAGCGTATATCACAGTACTCATAACTCGCCTCCCCAGGCAAACTGACCAGGAACTACTTCAAATTCAAGTCTTTGAGCGAGCTAAGTATTATTATATTAATATCTCTAGTAGAGTGGGTGCCCATCCAATGTATGGGGCCTCTGTACGCACATAGCGATTGGATCTATGTCCTCCACGATGTCCCTTACATGAGTACCCTACTATATTACATGTAGTGTCCTCATGGCCATGGTACCCTGTAAATCAAGCTTAGAAATTCAATATAAAGTATTCCCCAAAAATCACCGACTCTAGCTGAGAATCAAAACCCTGCACACTCGATTTCATCCGCCCTATATTTCGAGGTTCATCGCTAAAAACCGAATCCCCAAATAATAAATCCACGTAAGCCAATATTAGATCAGATTACTTCCCAAACTGGGTAATAAATTCCCGAGCGCACTAGGGATCCATTATTGCTGGGGTTGTAGCTAAGACTGAGAACTACTAGGCTGATTCTCAGGACAACAGCTGAATTTCTGGTCACGCTTGATGCACATAAGGCTGCCCACCCTTTGGTGTCTTCTTCGGGCTAAAAGATACGCCGGTAGGATGTCGAATACGCGGGGTAGGTAGCACATACCCAGTTGGGAACGTGTGCGCAGCATCTGGTACCTGCGTATTCAACATCATAGATGCGTATCTCACGGCCCAAACGTACGCGCACGAATAATTAATATTCACTCCAAAGAAATCAAAAAAAAATCCGCACTCTTCACGAAGTTCAACCCAACATCACACACCTCACACTCTACTATTGTCCAGCTATGTTAACATGGCTAGGCAACTACTTGTATAGCACCTACGTCATTCTCGAAGTCTTCCTGACTTTCCCGCTCTGCATATCGTCGGGTTCCACAAAACAAAGAGTAGGTACAGCGATTCACAGGCATTTGGCGAATACACCCATTTGGCGAATTTGTATGTAGCAACCAGCCAGCAACCAGTCAAACTGCGAGTTTGACTAAGATATCCTGATTCTTATTGGCCGTGACCCCTGTTCGTCAAATGGGTGTATTCGCCAAATGCCTGTGAATCGCTGTACTACAACCAACACGAGGAAAGTCTATTTACGAGCATACGAGAAACCGCCAAACGTATGGTATACGTAACCTATATTGTTTCGAATTATAGAGAGTCGTGTGATCATTTCAATACCAGAGTCTGGGCTCTAGAATCGATAAACGTAACATCCGTCACGCTTGAGCGTTACAGGGTCCAATAGCTAGCGCAGAGCGACAACCACGACTGTCCTAACCACCACCGATCGCAAGAAAAACAATGAAGCAATACTCGCCTGTCAATGAATATGAGAATGAGTGTGATCCCAGGCTCAGGGGCGGAGGTTATCGCAGTTGCGCACTGATGGTCTATCTTCGCGAACGCGAGATTTTTTTTGAGCTCGACCAAAAAAAAAACCGCCATTCTCGAGTACATACGTGAGAAGCTGAGAACGACGTCAAAAGGATTTCAAAATGAAGCTCTGAGACCGATTTGAACGATCGACCCTGCGATCTGCAATCGCATGCTCTAACCCCTGAGCTACCAGAGCGTCTGCTGATTGACGGTCGGCATATTTTCCTTGACTCGCCGGGGTGTCAGAGTCTTGGTGTCTTGTCCCCGGTTAGGATGATCTGGGATTTGGACATCCTGGGGTTTGAACATGTCTAAACAACTGCCTCTCTCAAGAATATCCCATTTCGCGCATGATGGGGGGGGGCCTTGTTTTCCATCGTGCTCTACATCTCTGGAAAATTAAAATTTACAGACGCTCCAGACTCCACTTATTTCCTCTTCCTGAAATTTCCGTCCTCGTCTACGAGTCTATACGACTCACTATTCCCGGTATCTGACTCGTACTAATGAGTCACACGTACATGGGTGTTTCAGGACACATTTCCTACAGTGCTAAGTAAAGAACACATGGAGATAATGCTAAGTCCTAAACCCTCTAGCAAAAAAGACGACACCGACGAGATTCGAACTCGCGCGCCCGAAGGCATCCGCTTACACTTTCCGAAGAATAGCAGGCGAACGTGATAACCACTCCACCACAGTGTCCTTTGTTGGGTTGACTGCTGGGGTCTTGTGTTTTTAGGGCAGACGCCCAGGCAACGCTATCGCTGGACAGGGGACACGAGGCGGACTCAGTGTTATGTAATCGTTCTGCACATCACTCGTTTTAGAGAAGAGGGGAATTGTGCTTCTAGGATTTATAGAACACTCTCAGGTCATTAATAGCGCTGTAAGAAGTAACCCATATAAAACGATCTGAAAGGTCACAGGTTGCATGTGGAGAAAATATCATTTACAACCTACGTCTTTTCGGAACATAAGGGTTATTGCAACGTTATATAAGGCTTATAATATGCTTATATATGGCTTGTCACAGGCTTATATGGGGAAACAGCTTATTAAGAACCGAGTTCTACATAAGGGTTAAATAAGAATTGGAAAAGGTCTACGAGAAAACCCAGGTACTCTGGGGCAAGGCACAACTCTCTCGTGTGATTTACTGAAAACAGAGTGTTCTCAAAATAAATGCATCTGGTGCGCTGTTGTTCAAGAACTCTGCCTATTCAAGACAATTTCTGGGTACGCCCCTTTATCAGCTCTGTCCGTTCACCGGTCATGGAATGCCTAAATCCAGGAAAGCCTAAAGGTCTCATGGTCATGTCTTTTGTGCAGCCACCTATGTCAATCCCCCATTGCATCACCCCAAAGAGCAGCTAGGCCCGATCATTGGTAAGTAGTCAGGTTTGTCCAATAGAGAACAATAGGCTTCGACCACTCATTACGGATTAATTCTCAGCTGCTATATGTAGACTGAGTGATACGAGAAATTAACGGAAAACGCCAGTCCACCACGTTATCCAACTGAGTGGACCAAAGGACTATGAGAATCCGGGTCATAAACGAGGATCTAAATGTCGATAATCATGGGCAGGTACTGAAAGCTGTCAACCACGTACATACCATACAAGGCGTTTTTGATGATACAAGTACATGGAACGTACGTACATCGTATTACAGCTGTATTAAATTTAACTTCGCAAAAAATATCGGTTTTTTCCTCGTGGTGTTCCGTAGACTGCAGAATCAGATTAGGGTCCGAAATACAACACAATACCGAACCTTTACTAAAGATTGACAGAAACACTGAAGTCGAGTACGTATTTAACATGAATATGTACCACGTATCACCTCATGAGGTAGCACTTGGTTAAAACAAATATTGATCATTAACTATCACTCGTTTGGTTATCACGCCCAATATATTTTAACAGCTTAATCTCATTTACGCAAATATACAACAGCATATCGGAGCTTCTACACATACATAACCCAGCACTACCACAAGTGTGGAACAGCGTGATGGATCGAATTGACAGTATTCTAGGCAGTTAATTGCGGACGTGCTAAACGCTGATCCGCAACGCCAATCCGGCCACGAGTGGATACTACAGATGAAAACACTTGCAATTTGAAACATGATTCTTATGCCCTATCACTCGGCACGGCTAACGTCTGGTGGTTTTCAGTGTACCGATCTCCTTCGTGACGGGCTTTCTATATTACCCTCTATCTACTGCAGGTGTCAGGTTAGGTCCATCGAGAGTTATCGATGGCTTTCCCCCAATCCACTAGACAAAATGTGTGTTACTTTGTAGGTGTAGGCCGGTTGCACACACCAACGTCGTCACAATACCAGGCAAGCTAGACTCAACACCAACGCCTCCCAACCCACCACAACCAAACCTAGGCCAAAAAATTCAAAAAATTAAGGAGATTGAGTTCAGTACTCAGGATTCCCACATGGTCACCCACTGTAGTACTAACTGAGCGATATGTTGCTTGTGTATGGCAGAGCAGACGGGATGCCCAATTTTCAACATTCTATGACTGAACACGGGGGAATGAGTGGATGGTGGAAATTTATTTCTTGTTACCAAGCTGAAGCTGTGTGTGAACGGAAATATGTTTTTTTTTTGGCTACGTGGGTTTTTTGGGTCTAATATTTGATCCAGGGCGGTGCAGGAATGGGCTTTGAGCGATTGCGTTATACTCGTTTTGGTAGTAGTGTTGGTGGAGTTGGTGGTCTTTGATATTCGAATGAGCTGACCGTGTTCAGCGCATGAAGGATGTTTTTGGGTTTACACACGATACCGCGCTAAAGTGTGAAACCGATCTCGCGGATCTCGAAGATTTCACAATTTCTCACTCGGATGTGGTGTAAACGCATCCCACCTACCGGCGGCCACTAGAACAGGGCCCAGCGCGCTCGGCGAGCGCCGACCAACCGGCAATAGCAAGAACCGTATACATAGGTAAGAATAAAGACTGATATCGCGTCTATACACTCTTAACGCATGGCCAACCCCGACAGCCAATATTTACAGCTACAGGACAAAATACTAGTTTCTAGGCGGTACTGTGTCCTAGTCAACAGTTATCACCATCAGGAAAAACACAGTATCTAGAACCACTTCTAGCACAATATTGCCACTCTCACACGAAATCGAAGCCAGGTGCGCACGCTTATAGCGCAGATATAAAATACTTTAGCACCCATCTGTGTTGGAGCAGAATTAAACAGACCCGCACATCTTGATACTTAGCTTCGTGAGGGTTCTGCGACTACATATCTAGAGTCGCTGTACCCTTCCACGCACACAGAGGGAGATCAATACCAAACCCTGGATATTTACAAACCTGAGTAATCTCCGCACAAGTACTTCTAGAAACCAGCTGTTTTCACACCTCCTAGAACGGTATCCGTACCGAAACAGATTCACACGGTGCGGCGGCACTAGCTAGCTGCCTACAGGCTTTCGGAGTCATACTTCTCACAGTACGCTCCCGACACAGTCGGGGGCGGTGGTTGTTTTTGGCCAGATAAATGTTTATTTATAGAAGCTATCTAATAGGCTACACCCAACCAGGGTTTCCAACAAACTTATAGGTGGCTTCGATCATTGGCCCTGGTAGAACTCTACTTGTTCGGACCACATGTAAGTAATCCATCCAAGCCACCTTGTATTAGAGGATCGACCGGCCCGCCCTAGCCACTTCCACCTCCACCTCCACTTACCACCGCCGCCGCCGCCGCATGATTGGCCGCCCTACTAAAACTACGTAGTGCCCGCCATCTACATCTACTATTTGCCCAACCCCCAACCCCAATACCAGTATTCACGATCAAGAATATTAGTAGTGGTCACTCATGTCACCCAACAACTCAACACACTACAAACAGCCCACCACGTAGACCCAATATACTTCACCCACCCACAACCTTCCAGAACCTACCACCCCATCAGGGTTAGGGTTTATTCCAGCCCCATCCATAAACAAAAACAAAGAAACGAATCCACAAGCACGTGATGCGGTGGTCAGTGTTATGGTGGCCTGATGAGGTGTTGATGTCATAGTATTGCGTATTTGTTCTCAGTAGTGTTATTTATATGGCCTCGAGTTCGCTGCTGTCTTGGTGTTTTGATAGCATGTTTGGTGGTTAAGCTACGGTTTTATCTATATACGGCTTTTATAATAAGGCTTTAATATGAGTGTTCGCTCACGGTCATGGTCACGGTCGTACTCGGTATCGACAGACAGGTCGACTGATAGTTGTGGAACTGCTACGACGGCGAGCTCGGTAGTGGATGGGGAGTGTTGTCTCAGGGAAGGTGGGGAGGTATGTTTCCGGGAGGTATTTACACCTCCATGGGAGTCTACAACCAGCTCTACAACCAGCTCTACAACTCCTTCCACGCGGGCAAGCTCCATCTCAGAACCCACCAGGGACTCCAAACCCGCCCCCGTTCCCGTTCCCGCCCTCGAGCTCACAGTCGGTGTCGAACTGGAGTTCCTCCTCCTCTCCCCCGTCCCCACACCCCACACGCTCCTCTACCCCCTCCTCCGCACCGCCCTCACCCCCCTCGCCACACTCCTCTCCACCACCGCGTCCCCCCTCCTAGAACCCCACCCAGAAACAATCTTCCAGCTTAAAACGGACGATACGATCTCCTCCAACCCATGGGGCCTCCGCGCAGCACCAATCGAGATTGCAACCCCAATCCTCCGCAGAGGCGACTGGGAATGGGCCCTTCCCGCGCTGTGCACGGCCGTAAAATCACTCCCGGGTATCACCGCCCGCGTAAATAGGTCCACCGGACTGCATGTCCATGTGGGACTCGGACGGCCGTATACGCTCCCCGAGCTGAAGCGCGTGGCGAAGGCGGTGGTGTTGCTGGAAGGGTGTATGGATGCGAACCACCCGCGGCATAGGATCCCGAGTGATGCGATGGGGAGCTGCTACCGCAGCGTTGTGGGGAGTCTTGTGTTTCGCGGGTGTTCGCCGTGGGACATGGTGAAGATGGTGGATGACTGCGGGAGTGTCATGGAGCTGTTGGGGGTTGTGAATGCGGTGGGGGGAGGGGGGAGGGGCAGTGGGTGGTGTAGGCTATATAAGTACAATTTTACGGCGGTGGTGGTGTATGGGAGTGTGGAGTTTCGGCAGGCGACGGGGACAGTGCGCGGTGGGAGGGTGAGGGAGTGGGTGCGGTGTGTGATGAGGTTTGTGGAGAGGGCGGTGGGGACAGGGGAGGAGGTGTGGGAGGAGTGGGCGGCGAGAGGGGAGGTGCCGAGGGCGTTGTGGAGGATGTTTGGGGCGCCGAGTGCGTGTGGGTGGGGGAGGAGGTTCAGGGAGAGGGGGGCGAAGAAGAAGAAGGGGAGGAGAGTGCCCATGAGGTTCAGGCTGAAGGGGAGGAGGAAGAGCGTCTATCTGGCCAGGCGGGGCAGAGGGGGATAGCTGGTTAGTTAATTGTTGTTTAATTGTGCTAAGTACCTACATAATAGTTAGTATTAATAGTCATGTGCTCAATGCGGTTAAGTGGTGGCCAATTAGTAGCGGGACTTTCCGGTTGTTGTCGTCGGCGGCGCCAAGAAAAGCGGGCAGCTGCAAGAACAAGAACGGCAAAGGAAGGCATCAATCTTCAGGCCCACCATCGTTAGATATGAAAATATTAAAATTACCCAAATTCTTGTCGTAATTGTCTTCTCTTCAGCTGTCAGTAAGTGGTATGATACCTAGTAGATTCTCGAGGAATGCATGCTGCAGCTCGTCCTATTATTATGTATTTAGCACACTCGAACCACACGATCACATGAATGACCTACTAACTAACTCTCCCTACATTCCTGGATTGACCGGCAAGCCGGACTAATCACACCGCACCGGCAAACACCCGCACCGGCACACCCAATCATGAACTATCACCAGCAGCGCCGATCCACGCACGACCGGGGGTGTGTGCAGAGAGACTCGTAGAGCAACAAACAGGCGATTGGCTGAGTTGTCCAAGTTGCCCTTGCCACCGGTGAGCAGGGATTCGCAGCTGCTCAACCCCAGTTCATATAAGAAGCTGTTGTTTGCGTCACCAAACTCCCCCGCAAATACCTAGCTACATAACCCCCCCAATTGCTCTTCCTCCTCTCCCGTTCAAACAAAATCAATCAATCAATCGGTACCAAAATGCAGATCACAACAATGACCCCATTCCACACCAGCTCCCGCGAACCCCGTCTCGAGCACCGCGGAAACAAGACCTTCCTCGTCTGCGAAGCCCGCCGCAAAGACAACACCTGGACCCGCGCCGAACTCGACCTCGACACCATCCTCGGCAACAGCGACGGTTCTCCTCCCCCTTCCTCCCTCCCCCCTCTCCATCTCCCCCTCTCCATCTCCCCCTCTCCATCTCCCCCTCTATCCCACACCCCGCACCCCACTAACACCCAACAACAGGCAAATTCGACACCACCGGCAAAGGCAGCAACTTCACCCAGAGCGCACAAAACATCCGCCTCGAGCGCGGCCACGATGGCCGCCCCGTGCTCCACGCCTCGCTGGCCAACTGCGCCGGCGAGTGGAAGGATGCGGTGACGCATCCGGCAGAATGGATCATGAATGTTGATGGAAGGCTGCGGTTTGGGCGCCAGAGGGACCTGAGGGCGTTTGAGGTTATTGCGGATGACCGCACGTTCTTCATGTGTCAGAGTCAGCGCCCAGACGGGTCGTGGGGTGAGGCGAAGATGGATCTGGATAGGGTTATTGGGAATGATGATGGTTTGTTACTGTCCTTCTTTTTTGATGTTTCTCCTGATGTCTCCTTTGGTTTGGTTGTGGGAGGGTGGGGCTGATGGGGTGTGGGGCATGTGTAGGGAAGTTTGATATCTCGGGTGGAGGGACGGCATTTACGCAGTCGGCGCGGAACATAAAGATGAAGTATGGCGGCGCGGGAGGGGACCACCCGATGCTGGTGGCGGAGCTGAAGGATGTGAAGGGTGAGTGGAGGGCCGGGGAGGTGGACCTGCTGGAGGTGCTGAAGAACGTTAATGGGACTCTGGAGTTCCATGGGAGGAACCAGCATGGGCCGCAGTGAGTGGGTGGTGTGTTGAGCCCTGAGCAGAGCATTTTGGGTTTTTCTTTTTTCTTTTTTCTTGTTGGCGGTTTCGTAACTCATCCGGCAGGGGAGATCTCGTAAAATAAAAAAGAGAATTGATATCGCTGTGGAATTTCAGCTGTCCATCTTCTGTTGGCCCGATGCTGGTAGTGTAGTCCAGGGTAACGCCTCTATCTACCTAGAGAGGTAATTGCAAGCCCAGGCGTGCTAGAATAGCGTGAAGCGTATGAACGCCTTCTAAGTTAGCAAGAGATATTTCCAGCATTCAATGGTGCTCAAAAGGCCTCTTCAGGATCCATGACTCGGGATCCGAGTGAGTGTTGATGCAATGGCAGGCAATCGCTGGTACAATGCTTCTTAGAGGAATTTACCTGTGTGGAAATCAGCTGGCATTATATTACTTAGAAGAATATTTGGTAGTGATGGGGGTTATACTGACTGTAGATATCAGTGCTCGTGGGGAGTGATTAACGATGATGGGAAGGGAGTGAAGTCAGGAGGGCAGGATGAGAGGTAAGGAGCCACCATAGTTCTCTCTGTGGGTAAAGAGCATGAGGTGACAGCCGATAATTTATCGAGACCGAAGGAGACAAAAGAATATCGGATCCCTCTAAGAGCACGTGCATCCCCACACCACCACCGGTACCGGCTACAATCGCTCCATATTATCAATATCAGATTCAAACAACGGCCAATATCCCAACCACAAACCACTACGATTGTAAACTGAATTGTGGACTTCTAACTTTCCACTCCATTGATGATAATTTCAGCTAGATTCCTCAAAATATATTGCCATTATCCGCATGCTCCAATGTGTTCAGTCATAGAATATTGAAAATTGGGCATCCCGTTCGCTCTGCCATACACAAGCAATATATCGTCCAGTTAGTACTGCAGTGGGTGACCATGTGGGAATCCTGGATACTGAACTCAATCTCCATATTTTTATGAATCTTTTTTGCCCAGGTTCGGGTTATGGGGTGTTGTTTTTGGTGGAGTTGGTGTTGGGTGCGTTGGGAGGTCGTGGTGTTGAACATGTGCCGTTGGATTTGGCAACCGGGTTGTAAAGCAACACACTTTCAAGTTGTTCCAAGTCAGTGTTAGAGAGTCTAAGAACTCGCAATTCTCTGAGGCGGACCCAACCATAACGCTGAGTTGGATAATGAGCAACAGATAAACCCAAGAACACGATCAATACCCACCCTGAAAGCTTGGAGGGTTTCCCACAATTGAATCCAATGCCCGAACTGCCCATTCTGCTAATAATAATTTCAGCTTGGTAACTCAGAATAAATTCCCTTTACCCAGTTGTTCCAATGTGTTCAGTCATAGAATGTTGAAAATTGGGCATCCCGTTCGCTCTGCCATACACAAGCAACATATCGCCAAGTTAGTACTGCAGTGGGTGACCATGTGGGAATCCTTGGTACTGAACTCAACCCCCTCCTTTTTGTGGATTTTTTTGACCAGGTTTGGGTTGTGGGTCGTTGGTGTTGGCGGAGGTGGAGTTGCGAGACGTTGGTGTTGAGCACTGGAGTCGGAAGTAGAGTGTTGGATGGTGGTGTGCAACCGGCTACACTCAAATTTGAGGGGTGCGTACTGGGCTCGTTCCGCCCTTGTCGATGAATTATTTGATATCAATTTGGCGGATAGGGAATTCTTTAGGCTTGTCCGAGAACATCTGTATTCGAGGTGGGGATATTGAAGCCCTCTAGTTGGTCCTAACACCGTTGACGAGACCATTACTACTACTGGGGCGTTCTGCAGTTTTTTCTCACTCTGTGGGCGAGTGATAATTCATGCATGTAAATTAACACACCCTTCTCAACCGGTCAACCCATCCACGATACAGGGAAAATTTGAAGCAATTCGCATCATTAGTGATGCAGTATTGTGTGAGAAAGATGAATTGACTTCACGACTCAGAGATACCGTACCACTGTAGCAGTTAAGTAGCATGTTGATAATTACGGCTACGATATCATTGGCATTTCTGAGATGGTAGATTGCAAGATTCGGATGGCAATGGCAATGGCAACACGTTCAGGGGCTGTATAATCTACGCAATGGACCTCACAAAGTAATCAGGAGCACAGGGATTGGAAACGGCCAGGGCAGGTGATTCATTCTCGCCACAAAAAACACTATTTTGTGAAAAATTACCGAACAAAGCCTCTAAACGCCCACGGTCCCAAAAAGACAAAAAAAATTAAGAAGAAAAGAAAACCCGAGCCAGCAAGACAAGATTATTCCCAGAGCAGAAAACTTTTTTTATTTTAGTTTCGTCCTCCCTTGTACGCTTACAAAAGAGTTCTATTCCACCATCTAGTACTCGCCAACGACGGGGAACTCAAAGATGACGTGCTTGCCAGTGAGTTTGCGGTACACCTCGCCGAAGGTGTCGACCTTGTAGTCAACGCCGGCGCGCTCCTTGGCGTCAAGGAAGACCTTGATGACCTTGTGGGAGTCCTCCTTGGTGCGGATGCGCTTGCCAACGATCTCGGTGGGGTAGACGAGGTCGGAGAGGATGGCGTCGTGGACAGCGGTCAAGGTGCGGGACCTTGGGCGCTTCTGGGTGACACGGCTGCGGCGCGAGGGAAGAGGGAGGATACGGCGCTGAGCAATGAAGAGGACGTGGCGGTCGGAGAACTTCTTCTCGAGCTCACGGGTGAGTCTATTCCATTGAGTTAGTGGATGGTGGTGGAGAGGAGTGTGGGGAAGTCGTTGGGGGAAGTACCTCTGCTGAACGTTGTGGAATCCCTTCAACAAGGGGACGGGCACAAAGATGACGATGGCCTTCTTTCCGTGGCCAACCTCGAGCTATCCTCCCACCGAGTACGAACCCGAATCGTTAGCTTTCCCGTACCTTCCTTCGTTCCCGCCTCCCCCACAAAGGGCGGGGGGACCTGGTCTGAAGGGGAGACTGGGAGACTGCGCATTCCGAAGAATGGCTAAAGAATTGAGGGGATTATATTACCTCCTTGGCGGAGTGGAACTGGAGAGGACGGAGAGCACCCTTGAGGTCAGCGACGGAGGTCTCGAGATCGTACAGAGCCTGGGCAATGTTGGTCTCCAACTCCGAGGGCTTGGAGTGGGACGGGGAGTTGGCGGCGATCTTGATAAGGGCGGACATCTTGATTTTTTTGGGGTGCTGAAGTTGTTCTGCTGGATGGGAAAAAAATGCCGTGATGATTTTGTCGTCGTCGTTGGGGTGGTCGTGATAAATTTCGTGGTGGTTGAGGTTCCAGGGTCGTATGTGTGTGGGGCTTAGTGAGGCGGTGGTGACTGTGGGTAGGGCGTTGCCCTATTAATGCCAAGACACTGTGAATCATGGTGCAGCACTCGACATGGACGCAGATGAAGGTTAAACTGGGGGAGAAGCCGGCGAGACAAGCAGGAATGAATGTTTTAACGAAGGTATTTGCTCCTCGTTTCTGAATTTTTCTTTTGACTAGTACTCATGCGCGCAACAACAACAAATACCACAGCTTATCAAGCAGGATAAGAAGATAGAGCCTGAAATCGCATCTTGTTTGTGTTGGTGCTGAGAATCATTTTCTAAATCGACATTCTAGAACCTTTTTATGGAGTAGAATGTAGAGATGTCTATACAATTCTTAGGTCCGCTCTACTGATAGTTAAAATGAAGTTATGTGTTCTCCGACTAATCTAATCTACTTGTAGTTGTCCCTGTACGTACGTTGTTTTTAACTATTAACGACGCTCTAATATATCAAAACCATCTGGGTCTACTCATTGAGGGGTTAAACCAAGAGAGTGAATACTAAAGGTACTCAGATCTAAAAGCCTAGGTTATCCAGCCCAACCCGTTCAAGATAAAGGGAACTGTAACTACTATTTAGATTACAGTTTGTAGAAATATCTACTACAAGACAGGCGTTAGTTTGAAGATGGTCAATGATCAAAAACTGTATTTCGGGGGCAATATCAACGATAAAAGCTCACAACGGCTTTCACATGCTCCATTCACTTTGTCCCTTCTATTCTTCCTAAGCCGGCCGATGAGCTGGGACGAAATCCACGATACCGCCTTGTAGGCAAATATAGTTTTGAGGCTTTATAGAGTTGAAGAGCTCGAGTCCTTACTGCTATTTTTATGGGATATATCCGCATAAACCCACTGCTGAGACACATAGAATGTAACACGAAAAACATCAATCCCTTCCCAACACCCCAATTCCGTATCACTACGGATCTTATAGTAACATAGCCATGCCTCGCACACATGTATCGAAGTTTCAAGTGCAAGGACACCCGTAAAGTGATTCATTAGACTGCAACCCATAACCACAAACTACTCCACCACCAATCACCACCACGAAGTAGAGCTAGCTTTACAGCAACAACACTAGATGCCCAACAGATGAGAATGCAAGCAACTATTGTTTAACAAAAACATCACCTGCAGCCACAGCCTGGGGCATATCCCAAACTAAACTCGAGGATTGCTATCGTGCGTTACCCTCCCCCATGCACCCATCCTCCTCTGAGCCCACAATAACCATACCAGGGCCTTCTACACCAACACAACGTTAAACTTAATATACTGTTGTACGTCAACATTATACCCCTCTCTCCCTCTCTCAGAGTAGATGGCGGCGGGGCCCATAGTCATCTACACCCACAGCAGACCTCTTCACACCGGCTCCCGAGTCTCGCACACTCACACCCACACCTACACACAGCATGACTCGCCCGCTTACCTGAAGCATGGCTCTGCTAGACCCACAGAGTGGCTAACACATTCATATCGACCAGTTGGGTTTTCTATACAATGATGTGGGTCATAGATTATCACTCGTATATCGAAGTGCTGGCGCTGAGCACCTCACTGGGCTGCTACCTCATAGCTATGGTTTCGACGCCAGGTAGAGCGGCTATAGCTTTTATAGAAATGTGGTACTGGTCACCCACGGCCCCGGTATCGGTGGTTTAAAGCACCAGCGCTGTCTGGA